ACTTTTTCCTAGGGAGTTTTTTTTTATTAATTTTATAATGGTAATTTTTTTTCATAATTTTCCTTTCTGATCTAATAAATTTTCATATTTATCATATTCAAAAATTTAATGTCGTTAATAGGCCCGATTCGTATCGATTTTGAAAAACGCCACAATTAAAGAATATATCCACAATAATATTATGTAGGACCTAAGGAATTTGCCACATCACTGGCAGAAATGCTTGGACATCTATTTGCCAAAACTTGACACATATATATAATTATTTTAGCTAAATTCTTAATCGGGACGTTTTAAAAAAAACCTATCTAAATCGGGCTTTTTAAAAAACACTACTTAAAATGTAAATAATAACTAGTATATATTGCACATTATCTTAATAAAAATCATTTATGTTTTTTTTTGTGTCCATTTCTGTTTTTTTATTAAAACCTTTTTAATAGAAAAAACTTTTATAATTTTTTTTAAAAATCATAACCAAATCGAAATGTCTATCATTTTTTTTTGCCCCTGAATCGAAACCGATCCGATACAAATTCTAGATAATTTGGAGTTTTTGTCGCAGCAACTATTTACAAATAAAATAAAAACGTTTCACGACAAAATGAAAAAACAAAAATACGAGTTCTAATAGAACGAAAAATTAATAAGGAAGATATATTGTCTAATCCGGGCCTGTTTTAGGACGGCGTCAAAAGGGTAATTTTTTTTTTGAGGATAATAGCTTCAGATTTGGGGCGGCAAAAAATTAGAGTTTTTTTTATAAAATATAAAAATATAATATTTCATATTGTAAAATGTAAAAATGTAAAAATTATTAGAAAAAATGCCAAACATTAAAACAAGTGGAATTCATTGATTTTTCCAGAAAGGGCGACAAAAGCATGATTGCCTAGCTTGCTAAGAAAAATATAGTCAGCGATGGGCTAAAGTATTTAGCGATCATGACCGCGTATCAAGCGGGATATTAATTTATTATGAATAAGTTATTTGGGAAAGGAGTTGGGGAGGGGGGGGGGGGGTTTATTTGTTAAAAAATATAATAGTTCTAATGAGTTACGAATTAATAATAATGAATAATTTTTATCCCAAAGAAAGGAAAATTCTAATTATGGCACGACGGTAAATATAAGAATATAGGAAAGGATTAATCTAGAAGGAATATGTATTCTATACATTGATTCTAAATTTGTTGAGGTATATATATATATATATTTATATCATAAATAAAATAGATTAAACTGGGACAAACTTTTAAATGCCCTTTTAATTGTTAGAAAGCTTAACAGCTGTTGAATATTTGGAACTGGAGCTGTTTTAATCAATTCCAGATCTCATATTGAATGAATTACTGTAAATTGCTTTATGATTCCCACCCTACTCTTTTCTAATAAAATATTATAACGATATATCAAAACATTCATGATAAAAAAAATAACCAATATGCAAGGAAAACCAGGGAACATTAAGTGCAGAGGAACGTTAGTCCGCTACAATTATAATTTAAGTTATTAATTTATAAAAAAATTTAGCCCTAATATATAATTCTGTCATATATGATTGGCTTAAAAGTAAAAATTTTAAAAATATTTGTATTTTAATTTTTAGAGAAGGAAAAAAGTAACAAAAAATAAATTACAAACTTTATGGTTAGATTTATGATTTAAAGTTTTCAATATCTTAATAAATAAATTTTAGAAAAGGTTCAAACTACTTTTTAATATCTGATAACTTTACAGAATCATAAAAATATGAATTAATATGATTCGGAATGATATTTATAAGTGGACTAGGTCATGCTTGTTTATAGGGTAGTTGGTAATATATACTTTAAATAATATTTTATTTTAATTTTTTTTAACCAAAATTCCCAAAATCTCATAAATTCTTTAAATTCGATTTAATTTATTAAATTATTGCGTATTATGATATTACCAATAAATTAATATTACATATTTTGAAGCCTCTAATATTATAATGATATCAAAAATAAAATTTAATTTTATATTTAGACATCTATTTTATAAGTGGACCAACTATTACATGAAGAAGTCCCAAATGTACCCAGAGTGCTATGTTTGGCCAAAATAAAAAAAATTTCAGATTTTATTTTTCTAAATAAGTATATATAGTATTTATAAAATATATTAACTATTTCAAATAGCCTATACCTTTAGGATTCATAAGATGTTTTATTTATTCAGATTAGTCTAATATTATTGAATTTATCCAAATTGAACAAAAGTCTCAACCATCCCCTGGTCTCCTTTACAACTTTTTTTTAAGTAATGACCATAATTCCAAATTGGAAAAAAATTTATGAAAAAAAAGATTTAAAACCAAAAAATTATTTTTAGAAAATATAAAAATTGCCAAAAATCTTTCCTACCCCCCCTCTGACAGGAAAAATTTAATATATTTCCTTTATTTAAGATAAAACCGAAATTCAACAAAATCCCGTAAAATAAAACCGAAAGCTAAACCATTATACTAAACAAAAATCACTTTCTTAAAACTAAAAGAAATTCACAAAAATTTGGATCTCCTTTTTTTGGTTCATTTATTTATTTTACGAGGCATTTTTCTACGTCACCTAATCCAATAATGATTTACCCCTCCACCTTATTAATTCCATGTCACCTTTTTCAATGACTATCTTGCTTAATACCCTTTTCTAAAGCCATGATATTTCTGCTTTTTGGTCCCAACCCGACCCGAAATTTGTATAAATTTTAAGCCCGAGCTCGGCTGGTCCATAAACATATTTCTTAACCAGAACCCGACCCGAATTCAAGCAAAATTTTTTAAAAAAATATATAAATCTCAGTCAGGCCCGGCCCGAGATATTTTTTAAAAAAATTTCCTCGAGGTAGAAATTTTTGACAGTGATCATACTCCTCTCATATTATATTGATAATATAATAATAGGATTATTTTATTTCTGTTTTTTTTTTAAATTCACGCAAAATATTTAAATTTTACGATAAATATCTTTAAAAACCATATAATGGGCACGTGCCAATCAAATAAATACGCGTTATTTATTCTTGAAATTATTATCATCAAATTGTAATTTACATGAGAAGAAGGAAGGCTTACAAAATGGCAAAATTGTTAAGCCCAGCCCTGTGGAAATTTAGTTAATTCCCGGCCCGGCCAAGTTTCATTTTTTTTTAATAAAGTCTTCCGGCCCGGCCCAACTCGAAAGGCTCTAACCCAAAATGATTAATGATAAATAATCTTGTGGAGTGGTTAAATTTAAAAATACTATAATTTATGGACTATCACTTTTATGAAATATCAGTATTCATCAAATATAATATATGTTAGCGTCAATGTGTTTTTTCCGGCAATGTGTTATTTTTTTTAACTTTAAACCATTTTTTGAGCGCGTTTTTTTAAATTTAAAAATCTGATTTTACCGGAAGTGTATGCCGTCATTTTTGGAATTATCTACCCTATAAATTTTAGACAATTTTTCCGTGAACTTTTAAATTTAATATAATTTACATTAAATTTTCCAAATATTTTTTTTATACAAATTATATAAATGTGACTCAAAGATTAAGAACAAAATTGTATAAAATTCATAAGATATGTATTCCAAATATGATGGAATACATATCCGGTAAAATCAAATTTTTAAATTTAAAAGAACGCGCTCATAAAAAATGATATAAAGTTGAAAAATAACGCATTGCCGGAAAAAACACATTGACGCTAAGATATATGTAATTTTCCGACAGGTCCACTTCAACTTTTTGACCGGTTCGGCCCAAAAAAAATATTTTTAGGCGTTACCTTACCCGTCTCTACCAACGTAGGCCTGGCCAAGCATTGCAGATTTTTAATTTATAAATCAAATCATAGGCGTTGCCAATGGAATTTTGTTAAGGTGGTGGAGGGGGGGGAGAATTATTAGTTAGAGTTTTTCCCCATAAGTTATATAGGAGGTCAGGTCTTTAACCATATTGCAGAGCCTTTGGGCTTTTGTTATGCTAATTTTTTAAAACATAATAGAACAGGCAAATGGGTAGGAGTCTCCTCCTCCTTGCTGTGCCTATGCAAATCAATCTACTTCTCACCCAACATCCTCATGGTGGTCGATTTCTTAAGAGGTATATTGACTTATGGCATGCCTGTTAGATAATCGATTTTAATTGAGCAATGATATATAGGCAAAAAAACTATAACCAAAGCGTTGCTCTGCTATTTAAAATAATTAATGAGCCTTTAATTATGATTAAATTACCCTAATTATATAAATTAGAGGTATAATTTAGTTTTTAAGGCATATTTGATCTCAAAATGTTTGATAAAGATTATATCTAGGCGCGTACCATCGCAAATTAGTCTGTTCTCGTTATCATTTTTATCTAATAAAAATTATCCACTTATATACCCTTCTCCATACCATCCCCCTCCTATCTCCCCAAAAAATGTAATATCACCATAAGGAAGAATTTGAAGGAAAAATTAGTTAAAAAAATAACTTTTAAAACAACGACTATAATTCAAATTTTAAAAAATAAGCATCTTAAATATAAAAAAAATGTGAAAACTCAAAAAAATTTTTTATGAAAATCTAATATAGCCAAAGACCTACAATAACTGCTAAAGATCTCCAATAAAATTTATGAGGAAATATACCTATAAAATAGTGCGCCCTCCCCCCTTAGTATGGTTGTACTCAATGTCTACATGAAAGGGACTGAGTGATCCTTTACCTTTCACATATCTTTAGTAGGTAAGCTTCTTGTAGGGGGAAGGGGAATCAAAGAGTAATTGGGAATAGGGGGATAAATATAGGCTTGTTTGCCTTTCAAAAAAATATCTCCACACAAACAAAAGGTAATATTCAAAATTCATTATCAATATCATTTAAAAATTAATATAAACATTTCATAAAAGTTTTTTTTTTATTTAAAAAAAACCAACTAAATTTTATTTTGAGATGTATATATAAATATAATATTAATATAAATATTATTATATCTTACCACATAATCCATAACTTTTAATTTCGACAGAGCACTTCTATTACATCTATATAATTTGTACTGGGAATTGAAGAGTGTAGCAAATTTTTACTCATTATATCGTCTTAATAATTCCTTTGACAATTTATCCCCGTTCCTTGAAGACTTGTTTTTATCATTTTATTATTATTATTATTATGTTTTATTTTTTTTTCATCATTGGTTGATTATTATCATAAAATTTTCTTTTTTTTTTAGTGTAAATTTATGCTGGACAAATAACATTCGACTTTTTTAATGAGTGAAAAAAATAAAATAAATTTGAAATTTTTTGCCATTATTATTATATATTAAATATACATATCTAAATTTTTCGTTTTTGTGGTATTTTTTTTTTCGTTAGAATTCCCAATGTGAATTTTTTTTTATTAATAATTCCCTAAATGATAAAGATAAAAAATTTTTAAAAGTTAAAAAATTTATTATTTATATTATATATTAATACACTAAAATTCCCATAAGGTGAAAGAAAAACTATTTTTGAAAATATAATTTTTATTTTTATTTTTTATAATATTGGAAAATAAAAAGTATAAAAATGTTACAAATTTATAAAAATAATTATGAAGATATATGTCATTATTTAAATAATATTGAATTTTTTTCGATAGCGTCTCCGTCAAGATAACCAAATAGATAGCCTTTTTTTTCTTAGAACAGCCTACCCTATTCCTTATATATTAAAATACAATAAATTTTTAAAAGTATACCTATTATCTGCTAAGAAAAATCATTGTTTTCGACTCTACCTAATCATCCTTCTAGAGATCAACAATTTTGGATTACGTTATTCCTAATGATGCCCAAAATTCTAATTTAAATGTCGGAACAGCTGATAAATCTAAACTGACTCACTACCTAATCATGATAGCAGGCAGTTCTACAATGGGAGGGAGTGGATTTATATAAGATAGTAATTGAAGTATAATAGGAGTGGAAGGGAGTTAGGTGGGAATAGGGGTGGATGGAGGAAATATTTAGAGAGTGTCGTGGTGTAAAAAATTTATTTAGGGGGGGGGGGGGGGTGAAGGGGGGAGTGTTATATTGTCATATGTTTATATTTCTAGACTATATGTCCCAATATACAAAAAAGAGGAAAAATAAATCGTTAAAAAAAGAATCTGCTTAATTTGGAATAACAGTAAAATAGTGCAAAGATTTAATATAGTAGACTAATTGTCATGAATGTGCATCTTTTATTTATGCCAGAAAGGATCTATTTTACTGGTGTCTTTATTGTAAAAACTAATTTTTTTTAATGTTGAAAATGAAAATTTTGTGTTTTATGGGTTATAGATTTGATATTTGTCATTTTAGTCCGTAGGGCTCGCCATTTTACCCAGGATCGTTGGTAAATAGTAAAAAAGCACGTCTTTTACTTACTCCTAAATAACTAGATAAAGGATATACAATGATACAATTCTTTTAATTTTAAAAAACAAAAAATTAAAAATATTACCACAAAAAGAGCTAAAACATCTGTCAAATAACCCCAGACTCTACTGAAATGAGCCCATTGATATACATAAATATTTTTAATGCCAGGGTTCCATACGATTCTTTTATAATAAGACTTTGCGGGAAAAGCGTAGGATAGGTTTGCTATATAAAAAAAAATAGTCATTTATGACAAAAAAGGGGATATTGAATAACTAAATTCCCAGGCGTATGATATATTTTTTAGAGAAAAGATTTTTTTTAAAATTAGCCCCCAATAACCCTCCTCATCCCCTCAGAAAAAAAAAATTTAGTAGTTATTTTCCGGGGAATTATCTTCCACTTACCCGGAAACCGGAGCTTGGAACTATCGATACCACTTCAAATTTAGGAACCGGAAGTAAAACTCAATTATTTTTAAAATTTTATAAAATAAGTACCATATTTATCTTAAATAAAAATTTAGAATCAGAATCAAAGCACTCTTTTGTTCTCTAGATTTAAAATAAAATTAATTTTATAAACGTCGTTATTTCCTTTCACGCTATTGCATTCGCGATATTAGTCTCCGCTGTCTAGTATTGCGAAAGTGGATTCGCGATCAAAATTTCGCCCTAAAATCCATATGTTATAATAAACATTCGCGATAAAAGTTTAGCCAAAAAAAATGTTTAGCGATAAAAAAAATTTGATAAAATTGACATGAAACCAAACATTTGAAGTAAATGGCAATAATTGTCATTTTTTATTAATATTTACATATTTTATAAGAGTTTTTTATGAAATCCAGATCGTTCTGCCCCGGTTACCCTTACATGTAAAATCATACTCTTTGCATGTAAATATATTTCAAAGTATGATATAGAATAGAGTATAATGCTACCGTATGGAGATTGTAATTTATTTATGTCATACACACAAATTACCCTGCATTTACATTCAAATTTGGTGTTTTTTTGTATTCTTCATCGCAAATTCGCACTAACTGTGAATGCAGAAGTCAATTTGTGCATTACAATGAGATTCACAGTAATCCGAAACTTTTTCCAATTCTATTATTTTTTTTGGATATTTTATTTGCAATATAAAATATTATTGAAATGGATATAATTATCGCATAATCGTTAAAATAAATTTAAAATCCAATTTATCTAATTAAATCGATAATTTCTTTCCTTCGATCGCGATAATCCTTAATAAACTGAAAAAAAAAAATTTTTTTTTAATGTTAAATCAATCATTATTTGATTGACTTCATAAATATTTTTTATTTTAAAAATAAACGCAAAAATAAAGAGAATAATAATATTTAAGTTGGTAAATTGTGGAGAAGAACATATCAATTTAAGTTCCATTTAATTATCTAATTTTTAACATTGAATTGTTATATTTTATTTGATTTAAATATAAGATAGGGCCCTGATGAATAGGATAATTTCATCCCCATTTTAAAAAAAAACATATACACTCTAATCTCATTCAAATTTTTATAACTATATATATAATTTATTAAACATCCAGGCAATTTCCCAAAAATGTGTCTTACTGGGATGGGGGTGGATAATTTTTGAGTATTCTAAAATTGATTTTTGAAGTTATCAATGAAAATAAAATTTCTCAAATTTACTAGGGTAGTTGATTATAAAAAATTCAAAAAAATCATCAAATATAATATATAAATATATATAAATCTATATGCATAAAAATGCTATTATAAAATATTAAATGCATATAACCTGCATAAATTCCAGGTTGAAGTACTATTCGGGTAAAACTCGGTTTCACCATTTTTGGTATCCGGCTAATAACTATATGAATCACTTATAATGTTAGATTATAAATTTATAAGAATTATTGATTGTGTAAAAAATGGCTCTAAGCTTTAAAAAAAAATATTAAAATGTTTAAAATATAGATTGATGTACAAAAATATTCTTAAAGATCATAAGTAAACAGGCAAGGTATTTACGAAAAAAAAAATATGTAGTCTCTTGTGTAATTGAGCTAATCAGTCAATGAGTGCGAAATTTCTTAGTAAGTCTAACATCAATCTATTCTAAAGTAGATCAAGGTTTTATTTTCCTAAAGAAAACAAAATTTTCAATGAGTATGGTGGATCAAAATATATAATCATTTATAATATATTAGGAGAAAAGTTTTATATTTTGTGAGGATCGCTTGATGAATGGAGACTCTTTCATTTACCTGACTTAAGAATAATTATGCAAAAAGGGAGGATAAAGATATTTAGAACAAAATATTATACTATTTTATTCTATGTTAATATTTTTTATCTATGGTCATAACTTGGTTCGAATTGAGGTTATGCTAATATCAAATTTGCTAAGTTATTGGTCTGAACTCAACAATCCATAATTTATGAAATTCCAACGTTTCCACTTCAATATTTGCCGTAATTTCTTTAAGCTTAAATTTTCTGTAGTAATATATGTTCGATACATTTAAATGTAGAAATTAATAATAATGGAGCATAAGTTATATTTAGCCTTGAGGCTTGTAAAAGACTTTTCATTAAAAATTAAATTTTTATTTCATAATTTTGCATATTTTTTAGACTATGTCCAAAAACTTTTTTAAAAAAATTCTAAGATTCAAAAACTTTCACAAATACTAATGAAATTATATGTTAATTTTTTTTTAAAATTTATAAAATTTTCTAGAATTATCTTTTTGGACATGTTTTTAATGATATAAGTTTCATCGTTAGTGCTTTCAATCAACTTTTAAGCGTGAAATTGGCACAAATTTTTATTTTTGCTTATAACTTTTTTTCCTTAAATTCGGCTACTATACGGATTGAAGTACTAATAAGCACTAACGAACTAAAAAATGACATATGATTCATCGTTAGTGCTCCCAAGTGTTCGGCCAACTTCACGGAGCTGTTTAAAAATAATAAAATTGATATTTATATAAAATTCAAAACCCTCTTTTCTCATTTCAGAAAGTTTATAAATCACGTTTAAATACATTTTTAAGATTATTAAGTATTTTAGTAACTAGGGGGGGGGGGCTAGTATAGATCAAATTATGCTTACAAATATGATATATTCTAATACATTTATGTAATAAAATAAGTATTCTTTGGCTACTATTACATATTGTAGGAATAGAATTAGGAAAACATAAAAAAAATTTATGTCATATTTTGTCATTTATATATATATATGAATTATTTTTATGTAAATAATATATTTATATCAATAAAACATTGTCCGTGAATATGATACAATAATATTATTAATTAACTTATGGGAGACTTAATAAAATAATAGAATCTGCAAACCTCGGATTTGAGGTTTTTTGACGTGAAAAATAACTTTTACTAGAATCAATCTTGGGAAAAAGTAATATAAATATTTAAAACATTTATTATGTATAAGGTTAGGTAGATGTTTGGTCTATCTCATGGTATTTTGTAAATTTCAAAAACAACAATTATGATGATCTTGAGAAAAATTGTTCCGACTAACCCTGGTCTACCTATGTTGATTTATCATAGAAAATTTAATGGCATATGTCTAATATTTTCGTATGAGGAGAGGGGGGGGGGGGGGCTTTGGATATAAATGTTTTTACCATTATATTGGATATTTTTAGGGTCTATATTAAATAAACTTTCCCAGTTACATTTTTAAAAATGTTAATTTGTTATTTTCTTTAATTTTTTCGAAAAAAAATTATATATAACGCACATTGTATATTTTTTAGGGGTTATTATTTTTTTTTAGGGGGTAGGGGTGGGTTGGAGAAATTTTTCAATAAATAAATATTTACGAACCCTTGGTTACGATAGAGAAATGATCCTTTTCATGACTAAACTTTTAATTGCAATCTTTCCCCTTATTGATTAGTTATCTCAGGGATATGGCTAAACTTTGAATAGGCTTAGCATTCTAAGTTAGTTGGAAAGGCCAGTTCAAATTCTATATTACTTATAATATAGAGAAAGAGCATCATTGATTTAAGTAATTTATAAATAAAAAGGAACAAAAATTAAAATTTTATTAAATGCACTAAAATCTTTTCTTTTTATCTTCTTTTCTATATATTCCAATGACTGGCTTCCCATCAAGAAAGAATATGTTTATTGTACATTAATCATCTAACCCTTAAAAGAAATACAACAAAAGTTACATTTTTGCCCCGCTTACCAAAATTCCCCAGTCTCTTCTAATTAATCCCTGTTAGTTTCCGGCGTCTTACTCAAATAAGCTTCCTAAGATCCCTAAAAATATCTAAGTTCTCCTGAGATCCTTAAAAATATCTAAGTTTCTGGTTCAAAGGAAAGGTTGTGTCTATTATAAACAGGACTATTATACCTTGGTCTAGTTGGCCAATGTTTGATACGCCTTACCTCCTGTTTCTTTTAGTATAGTATCGGTGAATTCAAAACTCGAGGCTATACATATAGTCATTTTTTTGAACTATATATTATATCTCTGATAATTAATATAAGCAGAATCCTGAAATCGATATCATTTTATATAAATATATTATGAAAAAAATTGATATAAATTCCCAGAGGTATAATAAGTTAATCGAAATAGGTTTATTATTTCTAAATATATAAATAATAAATACACTTTCCCCTTATTATTTCAGCTTATAATAAATTGGAGACAAATTAAAATCATATAACATTATGTATTATATAAATAAATAATATATAATAATATATATATATATTAAAGTATGTGATCAATAAATTTCTAGTGTAACTTTTCTTATATTTTAAAAATATTAAAATATATATTCTTTTTTATAGATATATGAGTAGTTTTTACTCAAGGGAATTTTATGAGAGAAAGTTAAAAAATAAAAATTTTTTTGGTTCTTCATTTATGATAATTTCTAAAATCCATTAAGAATATATATTCAAAATGCATGAAAATTAAATGTAAACCAAAAAGTATATATTTCAATTCTTTACTTAAATTTTTTTTAGCATTAAATTCTAAGTTTGTTTGCTCAGTATTTATTTAGTAAAACATAAAAGAAGATCAAGGTTGCATGAGCCCTACAGACGTCTATAAAATGCTAAGTAGACATGATCGTTTAAAGATTCAAGGTAGACATGCAATGAATGAAACGATTAATTCAGTTATTAGCAGTACTCTTATGAGGGCCCGAATATCAAACATCCTAAAGCTTTCTAATTTGTCATAAGATTATGGCCTGAGGTTTCGCTCCTGCTCCTTGGGTTTCAGGTAAATCCTTAATTTGAAATCCCATATATGCCTCATACTTTCCAAAAAAATGTGAATTGTTGTTATCCGGTTGATATAGCCGAGAAAAAAAAATATATTCTAAATTAAAATTTTTCTTTTACAAATATTTTATTTATTAAATTTAAAAAAATAGTAAATATTAAAATAATATGGAAAAAACATTGTAAACAATTTAAAACAAAACAAATATAAAAAAAAAACTATATGAAGTTTTAACAAAAAACATATAAGAAAGGGGAAGGAAAGTAAAAAGAGGCTCTCATTTAGTATTGTTAAACGGCTCGTTTTGAGCTGATTTTTCAAAACGGCTAACATAATATTTTAGGCAGAAAACTATTGCCTAAGCCTCGAGATTTCGATATATGTCTAAACCTTTGTTCATTCCATGAGCAAGATCTTCAGGCTTGCATAATATTTGGTGTAATATTGAATTAGTCGTTTAACAACACTATCTCATTGACATCCGAGAAAACTAAGATAGTTGCCTCAGAACATTAAGATTTGAGTTGAATGTAATATTCTAAAATCCATAACCTCCATTAATTTGAGAAATATATTTACCTAAAATCTTTAAAAAAATTGATAGCCTAAGGGGCCCGGACCCATTGATAGAAATAACCATTGGGATAAAGCGAAAATCTAAAAGAGTTGTGGTATGCTTTCTTATTTTTCACTTTTCAACTGTAATAATTGGATCACTGTTTGTGTTAGAAGAAATTAGGAAAACGCAAATGAAATCCCAAATAAGGTGTTTTCCTCTAACAACAAAAAATTTCTGGGGTCTCTCTCTTCCTTTTTTCATCAGACAGGGATAAGTGATTCCCGGTTTAAGCAGTCGGCCAACCCTAATTTGTTCGAGTTTATTGAGTTAATAGTTCTATGGCTACTGAACCTTTCGTTAGAATATATACAGGTTAGACCAAGTCGGCCTTTAAGAACGGAATCTTTTCCGCACTCTTTACATGGGTGGACATAGATCGCAGCTTAGTCTATAAACTATGGTCCTCGTGGCCTAACTTATTATATTTGACAATCGTTATCTTTTCCCTTGATATGTCCTACGGTATTTACATCAGAACCCAATAAATTTTATTTTTTTTTATAACAAAAAATTCGATAACTATTTTAAAATTTAATTATTACTGTTTTTACTTTTGAGGAACTTGTAGTCCCAATTCCGTTTTTATAGAATTAGTGTTTTTATTATTATTTTTTTCAAATATGTAGTAATAACACGGGTGAGATGGACTTACTTGCATTGCAATAGACTTAGCCATGGGGGTGAGAAGGGGAAATACCCGCTTGTAAAATTGTCCTGTTCTCGTAAATATCATTTTAAGCTAATAAAAATGTGTACAATATATCACTTCACTATAAACAAAATTTTAAAGAAATTAGTAAAAGTTAATAACTTTTTATAATAAATTCTTCTAACATATGCTCTAAATAGAAGGCTTTATTATAATCGCCATTTATTTGGCTTAATTTTTTACCTAATGATAAATTTAAGAAAAATTCCTCACCAAAAACACTAAGAGTATTGATGAAGGGTAGGATAAAAATTATAAATCATAAACACTAACAGGGTCATTAATAAGTTCAGTTTTATTTTTCGCCTCAAAATAGTATTCAATAATGAAAAAGAGCTAATTCATCCAAACTATCACACATATAGATTAATTATAACTAATTTCAAATGAAATAAGTATTAATTAGTTCTAATGCCTCTCTTTATAATTTATCTTTTGCAAACACAATTTATTAACAAGTTTACGTCTATCTCACTGGCAGAGCCGTGCTAAGATTTCTGGTACAGCTAAAAGATAAAATAATGAACTAAATGCGTGATTTTGAAAAAATGGGCGAGAATTAGTATCTTAGAATTTGAATTAGATAATAATTTGTAAAAATGATGAGGTATAAGAAACAATATGAGGAAACCCTTTAGCATCGCATCGTCTAATTTTAAGCCCCCTCCCCCAATGTATCGCGTCCTCATTTTCAACCACTAAAAGACTTCTCCTTATGTTTTCCTCGTATATCAAAATTGTAGTAAATCTAATAACCAGTTCGAACCCAGACTAAAAGAGAGTTCAGGTTCTAAATATATGCAAAATGGCGCTTCAGATTCTTAGATTTGATACTAATCCAAGGATTTGTCCAAGGTCTTTTTATAATATACGCAATTTTTAAAAAATAAATTTTAACACTAAATAAACAATATAAAAAGAAATATAGTACATTAAATTTTCAGGTGGTACTCTAAGTGGAGTTCTGGTTTCTGATTCCTAGAATTTTATCTTGGTTTAAAACTCTGCTAACAAAACATTTATATTTAATGGTTTTTATTTATCAAATACGACCAGAAGCCCAAGCCGATAAATGATATTATTTTAAGAGCCAGACCGTGCTTAATTTTATTTAAAATTATATCAGTTAATCAGTTATAATAATTCTTAAAAAGCAGCTTGGTGCTTGCTAACTACATCTTTTTTGTTATTAGTGCAATTATGCCCATCATTTTCTAAAATAAATATTTAGAAAAAATAGCACTGATTCCACCGGTGAAACTTTTTGAACCGAAATCTACATGGTAACGGCCGATCCTACCAATATCAAAAATAATATAATAGCATTTTATAATATTGATTTTCTTTAAGCATGAGATATAACTTACAAAATTTTTGATCGAACCAATTAAAGAAATACAATAAATTTTATTACTAATTAAATATATTTACAAATAAAATGTAACAATATTTAAATTTTTTTTACATTAAATAAAATCTACATAATTGAACGCGAAAATAGTATATATATTTTTGTTTTAAAGTTTAGGAATTTTTCGAAGTTCGTGTGTAAGCCATATCGCGTTAGATAGTAAGAACAGTGATCCACCCTGATGAAGACTTGCTAAAGAGATGGGAACGTGATATAAGAGAGTACTTATTCCGAGCATTATCTATCATAATATTTATTTTTTTAATATATATATAGTTAATTCAATCGATAAAAAGATTTTGTAAATATTCTCAATTTTTTTTATAAATTTAAAATTATCAGAGTTGTTAAAAGATACTTTTTAAATGGATCTAGATACAGATACAGATACATAGTCTCAAAAGTTATCTAGATACAGATACAACGTCTAAAAAGTTATCAAGATACAGATACAATTTTTAAATGTATCTGTATACAGATACATTTTTTATTATGCTCTTATAGGTTTGCATAAAGCTAAATTAATATTATATTGTGAAAATTCATGAAATGAGCTAAAAAATTTATTGACGCGATATAACATTTATCAGAATATAACTAAAATAATGATTTTAATATAATATATGAAAATATATGATTAAATAATTATAAATAATTATTAGATTTCAGTAATAAAATATTTTCAAAATTTTGATCATTTAGGCATCCTCGTTTATCTGTAAAGACATTTTTAGCAACACTAAATAGTCTTTCCACAGGGGCGCTTGAAGGAATTGTAGTGTTATATTTAATAAATAACAATTTTATATCAGGGTATTCTTTAAAAATGCTAAAATCTCTACATTCATTTTTGAAAAAGTTATTTAAAATTTGTTGATTATCAAAATTTAAATCATTATTAGAAATTATATCTGCTGTAGGGTACTGAAAAAAATCTGAAATTAAATTATTTGTTTTTTTTGGCAGGTTATTTGCTTGCAGTCAGTTGATGACTTTGATAATTCACCAGCTAATCTTTGTATCAATTGTTTTCTTTTATAATGGCTGCATGCCATCTATAATAAAAGTAATAATTTAATCATCTAAAGTGCCTTGAGTTAAAGTCAAAGGTCTTTTAGCAAAAATATTATTGGAGGATGAGCCTTGCCAATATTTTCTTTAGTATTTTATTTTCCTTCCCCTTTTTTATTTTTGTTAACAAGGTTGGATATTTTCTCTTAAAATTTTAATTAGAATTTTAAATATATAATATCTATACCCTTATGTGCTTCACGATATTGCACGTTGAAGTCATACTGACGGATATTTTTGTATTTTTAGGTAAACACGGCAAACCTTTTACCATCAGAGAATTAATTGTTTTCTTTGTTTTGAGATATTATTTTAAAATATGCTCAATTTGGCCATGGTAAAGCAATAGAACTTGTTGCTTCCTCTTCTTCATCGATATAGATCTAAATAAATATATAAACTTAAAAATTTAGTTATAAAATAAAATTTACCATTTCCATATTGTATATATTAAAATTTGTATGGTTTATTGATAAACTCGGACATAATATTTAAATTAATGAATATTTATATATATTTTTTATATATAAGTTTTAATATTTTATGTATATATAATTCTTTATTATAGTATTAATAAATATTAATATATAATATATAATATATATATATTTATTTATTTCATAAGCTCATATGAAATAAAATAAATTTTACAGTCAAATATTTTTATTTATAATAAAAAAAGGGGTATATAAAATGTATCTTAAAAAGTATCTAAAAACAGATACAGATACCTCTAAAAAAATATCTAGATACAGATACAGATACCTTTCTAAAAAATCTATCTTGATACAGATACAGATACTACATTTTTATATCTAGATACTTTAACAACTCTGGATTTCAGTAATAAAATATTTTCAAAATTTTGATCATTTAGGCATCCTCGTTTATCTGTAAAGACATTTTTAGCAACACTAAATAGTCTTTCCACAGGGGCGCTTGAAGGAATTGTAGTGTTATATTTAATAAATAACAATTTTATATCAGGGTATTTCTTTAAAAATGCTAAAATCTCTACATTCATTTTTGAAAAAATTATTTAAAATTTGTTGATTATCAAAATTTAAATCATTATTAGAAATTATATCTGCTGTAGGGTACTGAAAAAAATCTGAAATTAAATTATTTGTTTTTTTTTGGCAGGTTATTTGCTTGCAGTCAGTTGATGACTTTGATAATTCACCAGCTTATCTTTGTATCAATTGTTTTTTTTATTAAGATTTTCTTCCATTTGCAACCATGTCCAATCAAGTTTAAAAAAAGGGTAGAGCATGGTTGCTATAATATTATCATCTTCAAATAAGGTCACAATAAACCTAGAATTATTAAATATTTTTAATTTATTATATTAATTTACCTATCCTCAATCCCTTTAAGTAAGGCATCTAAGAGTGGTAAACAGATGAAATAAAATAAATTTTACAGTCAAATATTTTTATTTATAATAAAAAAGGGGTATATAAAATGTATCTTAAAAAGTATCTAAAACAGATACAGATACCTCTAAAAATATATCTAGATACAGATACAGATACCTTTCTAAAAAATCTATCTAGATACAGATACTACATTTTATATCTAGATACTTATATCTAGTTTAATTATAAAAGAAACAATCGATAATGGCAAATAAATGAGAAAAATAAGAAAGAAGACCTATTATTTAAAAATGCCATTATTCTAGGCATACACTACTTATAATACATGTTACTCAAAACCATAAAACAAGATATCGAATCCCCAAGAATATTACTAGTTTTTTCGGGTAAAAAAAATTGATTCTAAACTTAAATCTCGAATTTCAAGAAGCGTCAGGTAATTATGCAAAATCTTTCTTTTAAGACCCAATTTAAGGCGAAATGAAATCCCTGATTTCATGAGATTTTAAAAAAACAAACAATTTATATAAATTTTATAGATAAATTTATTTTTAAATATAAAATATAATTTGTATATTTGAAACTTGTATGGTCGTCATTCCTACCATACAGTTACATGCCAATTTTATTCTAGGTGTCAACATGTGTTTAGGAACTCTTTTGGTGATAAACCAAGTCGCTACGACGGAAGATAACGTAATGGTTGCCTACATTTTTATAAGAAAAGTCTTGAAGAAAAAAAAATATATCGAAATAATTTATTATATATAACCTTAGACCACGTGAAGATTAAAAATTTATCACGTTTGTTTTTTTTTAAAATTAATCTATATAAAATTAAAATGCATAGATATTTCGCACTGTTATGACTTTTGTTGAATAATTACTATATTTTTATCCATTTAAGCCAATTTTGAGCTTATTAAAAAATCGGCTAAACAAAGTTCTAAGCCGAAAACTAACCTTTGACCTAGGGGTTTTTCTTATAAAAAAGATAGTAGCTTAAATTTGGAAGAAATTAATATAAATTAAAACGCCTTGATGTTAACGGATTTCCTCCGGCAGGCACCTGAAGATTGAGGCGAATTAGCCATTATACCCAACTATAGTTATGACTGACATTCCCTATTTTAGGCCAAAGTTAATGCGCGCAAAAATTTATCAATCTTTATCCTTTATTATGTTAGGGTCTTAAGATCAAAAAGGATCCTATGTTGATATCCAATAAAATTTCTTCTATTGTAAATTTAATTTTTTTTAAAAAAATTGATCATTTTTTTCCTTTCATTGAACAACAAATATTTCAAGTTTCATGGTAATTTGTCTTAGCTTTAAGTTTGCAAAACAAAAATTGAGGGTATAAAACCCTCCCCCTCATTAACTATCGTGTCATTTCTTTCCTACCTTACATCTCAGAGGGGGTTAAATTATAGGAAATTTTTTTTATAAACTTTAATTTATATAAAACCCTAAATATTTCCAGTTTATTAATTTTGATTTTTTTTTAAAAAAAAAATGTCGTAGATTCTGGCCTACAAATTATAAAATATAGAAAATTAAATAATTTATTTGGAGGTGGGGGGAGGGAGGGAAACGGGATAAGTAATATAAATAAACCAATATCCTATGATCCATTTGAACCATGGCCGGATTTTCGAAAAAGTTTTTCCACCTGGGACTTAACGTAAAAATGTCGGAAGGAATCCAATAATCGCCCATTTTGGGGAAGGAATTGTAAATCAAACCGGCGTCGAGCCCGGCTACAAAAGCTCCTGTAAAGAAGAAAAAAAATATTGAAAAATTTTATGTGTTCTTTTAACCAGAAATGTTAGTATTTATAAAGTTAAAATTGGGGGCTGTGCCGATCTACAAATCTTTGGCCGATCCGATATTTCGATCCCGATACTTATATTGATTTTTTTTATTTACAATCTATCTTAGGATTAATGTCATAAATAAATCAACTAACTTTCAAGAATGGTTAAATGTAATTTTTTTTTTTTTATATAAATCAAAAGTTAAGAATTTCATTTAAAATATTTGTAATGTTTATGGATGAAAGTAGTGTTGCTAAACGGCTCAATTAAGCACGATTTTTAGAAAGGGTTAAATCAAGATTTCAGACAAAATATCATTACCTAAAACACGAAATTTCGCAAATAGACTAAACCTTTCTGTCATCTGTGGACAAAATCAATAAAGATTGAGTAATTTACTTTTTTGGCCAAAATCTTGAGTTAACTGTTTTTAAAAATTGGTTACGAGCCGTTTAACAACACTAGGCTGAATGTGGTAGATATTTACCCTTTTCTTGTTGCAGATAATATAATAAAAAAAATAGTGCAAAAATTTTTAACTATTTTTTTAAACATTACAAAAAAAAATAAATTGTATTTTTATTTCTATTCATTAATTTATCATTAAAATAAAAAAAATTATTTAACAATCATAAAATAACCAAAAAACAGAATAACTCCGATCCCATAACGCTAAATATCGGTGCCGATCCGATATTTTATATAGGTACAATCCTAGTTTAAATGCACCCTCATACAGGATTAATTGCTTCCGTTATAAACTTTTCATAAAAAATGTATATTATATTTGATTAAAGACAATAAATAAATTAACAGTATTTTAAAAAAGTCATGTATAAAACTCTAATAATATCGTATAATAAATATTTATTATTAGGGTTTTCGTCAATAAAATCTAGCAATGGCAAAAAAAACGCAACACTAAAGGCTAATGGAAAATCAAAGTCGAAAATATAAGAATCTTCAAATATTTTCAAAGCGATAAGTAAAATAAAATTAATCCTTAAGAAATTTCGCAATTCCTTCCATAGGAGTCTAAAAAAATCTTTTAATTTGATTATCGGCATCTATCTAAATCCTAAATTTGTAATTATTAGAGCGAACTAAATTAGAGTTTTTTTTAAGAATTATATTATATCTCCAATTCTTAAACTTTCAATTCTATAAGGGACATTGTTTGGTTAAGATCAGGGATGTGAACCCGGACCCTGAACCCTCGTATTTTGGCTGAACCCGAACCCGAACCCTTTTAAAAAGTGGAGGGTTCAAGGGTTCAGGGTAAAAATTTTAACATATAAATTATTTTTTTTTAAATAATGTAAAAATATTATTTTTAAAAAATAATATAAAATTTTTATAATTTTATTAATTTTTTTCGTGGAATCATTTATTTTATATTCGCGCTTTTCTTTTGATTTTCTTCCTGGACTTCATTTCATTTTATTTAGAGATTGATACCATAAATTATTTTCTAGTGTAAGTATTAATATTTTATTATATAAATTTATTAATATGCTTTTTGCCTAAAAAAAGCATTCATATTCAAATGTCTGAGGAGAATTTGATGAATGCTTTAGTTGAGCTTGTTACAATAAATGGAAGACCTTTCAATATTATTGAGGATTCTGGTTTAAAAAAAATTATTGATCCTATTAGTAAGGCAATTGGAACATCAATTAACCGTTTTAAAATTAAGGACTTATAGTGCGTACAAATTGTGCGTTGCAACGCTGCGTTTCAAAACGCAAGCAATGCATTTTAAATGTATTAGTTCAAATTGAACACATTTCCGTTTTTCATTTAAATTATTTTTTTCAAAACGTAAACCTGCTTGCGTTTTCAAATTTTTTTGAAGTGGAGAAATGAATTCACCAGAAAAAATGTAAGTATATTAATTATGTTAGATCATGGAATGACCAAATCACAATGAGGTTTGCAGAAATGTTGGAACCAGAAGAGATTATATGGAATCAGGCGCATCCTGATCACAAGAAGACATTCGTTGTGATGGAACATCTTTCCATCATAGGAATTAAGTTAAATAATATATTATATTATTAATAATTTTATTTTTAGATTATCAGAAGAATATCCTGATTATGACTGTAGTGTTAACTACTTAAAAAAGCGTTTAAGAAATTTCAAGTATCAACTGAGCAAAGAAAAATTAGACAGTCTATCCGGATCTAGAGGAGGGGTGCATGAATACAAGTATAAGAAATATATTAATTTCATGCAATCCACTGTTGCTGACAGACTTACTGTCAGTAACTTCCAGGAATCCCCTCCTCCAACAAGGAAACCTGCCAAAAAATGATTTGCAAATTCTGATGAATGTATTGGAAAAAAAGTCATCTAGCATCCAGTAATTCTTATTTTTATCTATAATTTATTTATCTTTTATATAGACTCTTTTTGGATAGCCTAGTTGATACAATGGAAGGCTACAATTCCGATGAAGATTTTTTTTTAAAACAGGTTTTAAATCTAATGCAAATAATCAAGATCAATAGAACACAACCAACAGAAACTTTTAATACTATTATATAATTTTTATATTTATATTTGTTATATTGTTAATTTTTGATATATTGTTATTAATAAAATTTTTATATAATTAGTAGTTTATGTGTTAATTTTTGATATATTGTTATTAATAAAATTTTTATATAATTAGTAGTGGATAATTATGTGTTAACTTCTTCCTAAAATGTAATTTTAAAAATATAAATAAGATTGCATAAATATATAGCAAAACATGATTAATATTTGTAATTATTTATACTGGCTAAAGTTTTTCACTCTTATGATTGAGGGCAATTTAAAATATTTGCATTGTTAAGTTTAATATATATATAAATCTAGTCTACAACCTTCATCCCCATTATTAATCCTCAACTTTGGATCCCACTTCATTTAATCTATTACAATTAACACTAAGCTTACAAATATATAACTAAACTTAAAATTATTTCATGATCAATACTTTATTCAAATTTTATTTAATATTAATAAATTTATTATAATAGTAATATAAATAAATTTATTATAATAGTAATATAAATAAAATTATTATAATAGTAATATAAATAAATTTATTATAATAGTAATATAAATAAATTTATTATAATAGTAATATAAATAAATTTATTATAATAGTAATATAAATAAATTTATTATAATATAAAAATTTAAGAATTTATAAAATTTTTAAATTTATCCCTAATGATTTTAGATTCCTGTGAGCTTTAGTTGTTTTCCCTGCTTGCCAAAAATGGTCTTGTTGTAAGGTTAGCCAATGTAGGATCTGTATTGATGATAATATAATTTTAAAAATATATATAAATATGATTTTTATATATTTATTTAAATTTAAATATTAGTATTACCTATATCATCAATGGAAGCTGATCCTTCTTTGTATGATGTTATGTAGGATGCAAATAGCCTTTATCACTATCTCTATGCTAGGTAGTCCTATTTCTATTGGCTTACTTAGAATGTCAAATTTTTTGACTATTCCACCTGTCCTCGTATATGAGCTCCAGTATATAAGAAAATGTTGATCTTCTCATTCTTGTATAGTTATACAATTGCGAATGTGTTAAATCGCCTTTAATATTAATATATTCTGAAAAAAGATTTCTTTTAACAAATATTTTGGATGTCTTGCTCTTCTTCCTTCCTTTATTTCATTGTAGTAAATACAAAGCAAGTAATTTTTTTTGTTTTAAATTTAAATGTTTCATATTGAAAAAATAAAAGTTAACGCATCAATTTATACATGGCTGCGTTTACGTTTTTTTATATGCGTTTTAAAACGCTGCGTTGCAACGCACAATTTGTACGCACTATTAGTGGTTGATGAATCGAAAAAAATACAAGCAAAAATTATAAAAGGAACAAAAAACAAATTAATTTCATTAAAAATAGATTCCGCCCAAAGATTAGGGAGAAATATTTTAGGAATAAATATACAATATATTAAAGGAAATAATATAATCTTAAGTAATTTAGCAATGAAGGAGATTAAAGAAAGTTCAACTTCTGAAAATATAAAAAGAATGATAATAGAAACTTTAAATAAATTCCATATTCCTTTAAGAAACGTTTATACCATTACTACGGATAATGGTGCTAATCTAGTCAAATCTATTAAACTATTAAATGAATGTTCATTGGACGAAATGGATGATATAGATATAAATAATGATGATAATAATTTTGAGGACATAAGTGAATTTGACATACCGGAGATAATAAAAGATTTTTCCACGAAGATATACTGTATCAGATGTGCAGCCCACACACTACAATTAGCTATTAATGATTCCCTCAAAAATAATATCTTTAAAACTATAATTGACAAAGCAAGGGATGTTGCTAAATATTTAAGAACTCCTACAATTGTACGAATATTAAAATCCATGAAAAGGTAAATGGCAATATTAGATTGCACAACCCGTTGGTCCTCTATCTGTATGATGCTAGAGCGATTAATAAGTTTAAAAGATTTCTGTGATGATTTTATTATAGGATCATGTGAAATCATTTTGTCAGAGGATGATTGGAATCAAATCAAAGACCTTACTAGGGTGTTGGTTCCTTTGAAAATTACTACATTACGATTGCAGTCAGAACAGTTGTGTTTATCCGATTTTTATGGCATATGGGTGAGATGTCGATTAGAATTAGAAAAATTTACAAGTTCCTTTTCATACGAAATATTAGAAAACATGAAAATACGAGAGCAACAATATTTAAAAAATAGTGTTGTGTATGCCTCAATATATTTAGATCCTCGATATCAAGTTCTATTAAGTATTGAGCAAAAGCAAATGGCAATAGACCATCTCGACGATTTATGGCATAACCATAACTCTATTATTAACAATATATTGGAGGCTTCAACATCTAATGGTTGTAGCGATAGTAATGATGATAGTAATATTGACGAACTCGAAATTTTATAATTAGATAGAGAAAAAAAAATAAAATTATCATCAGGATCAGATAGAAAGGTGAAAAAAATATCGATTGTATCTTTAATTGAAAAATTCTCAGAAGTTAAGAGAATTAATAGGGGTAAAAATATTTTAACATTCTAGGAGGAAAATTCTCTAATATATCCTGAATTGTATACCTTGTCTAGATTCGTCATGGCTGTACCGGCGACACAGGTACAATAATTTATATATTATAAAGATAACTATCTATTTTAGGTCAGCGTAGAACGTGGATTTTCTTCCTTGAAATACATATTGTCTAATTTACGTGGAAATCTCAAGGATGATATTTTAGAAGATATTATGATCGTTCGATTGAATAAAATATTTAAAATTTAAATTATTTCATTTTGAATTATGAATGTGTATATATATATTGAAGTATAATAAAAATGAATGAAAAAAAAGTCTTATTTTGAGTCATTATTTTTATGTTCCCTGGACCCGGAACCCTGGACCCGGGTCCTTTAAAAATTTATTACAGGACCCGAACCCGGACCCTTTTTTTTTGTTGAAGGGTTCACATCCCTGGTTAAGATTAAAAACATTTTGATATAAAACAATATTTTAAAAAAATATATATTAAAAACAGGCAAATAATTTGATAAATTTTAATTTTTAAAATTTATTTTTAACGAGGAGCTATAATATACCTGATATGGCGGTTATAAATATGAGGGATTTCGTAGCGTGAGCCATTCTTCTGATATTTTTTAGCGGTTGTAGATTCATATTCACCTTGAAAGATATATCCGTTACAACAATCATTATAACTATGCACGTGGCATGACATATAATGATGCGTAGATTGTTTATTCATTCATTCATTTCAAATGTGTAATAAAATATCAAATCAGCTGGTGGCGCGCCATTCTGGTTTCCCGTATAAACTATTTAAAATTATAAATTTCGTGAAAACTAAAATGTCGCGTCGGCAGATGATTTTGTATTCAATGATCGTTTCTCAAAATGCATTTTAATGGAATGAATCTTCAGTCTACGCAAGTATTATATGTAAGTGGGTGGTAAGAAATAAATTTGCTTCTATAACTATTTGGAAAATTTTAATGTCACCAAAACTTGATTGCCTATTATTTTTTTTTAAATATTACTTGGTAACTTATTCCTAAACTATCGATAGTTCTCTGTGCGGAGAGATTAGAATTTGATCCGACCAAATTTGGAACGATCACAAACCGAGACTTCTTCGAACCCGGTCAGTTTCGGATCTAGATCTTAAAATTTATTTCGAATAGGAAGGAACTCGATCCTCGACGAAAATTTAAATTACTATGTTTTTTTACGAATATTATTCTCAAAAATAACCATAAAAAAAAGTTTATTCATCCTTTAAGGTGAGTCCTAGTTTAACATATTACTAAGCAACCAGCTGTTAAGCCGGCTATTTGGTATCAACTAAACAGCCTAAAAAGCAAAAGAAAAATTTTTAAAAAAAACGAGAAAATAAATACTGCCATCAAATACTTAAAATAAAATATAGGGTATCCTAGATCAAAAGCTGTTCCTTCCATCTTTCTTCAGCCGGGTATTTAGTAGCGACTAAACAGCTGTGAAAAATAACAATGCCACCAAATATTATGAAACCGAAATAAGGTGTTCTAGTTTAAACGCGGTTCTCTCTTTCTCTCTTCAGCTGGCTATTTAGTATCGACTAAACAGCTTAAAAAGCAAAAGAAAATTTTTTGAAAAAAACGAGAAAATAAATACTGCCATCAAATACTTATAGGGAGTCCTAGATCAAAAGCTGTTCTTTCCATATTACTTCAGCCGGGTATTTAGTATCGACTAAACAGCTGTGAAAAATAACAATACCACAAAATATTATAAAACCGAAATAGGGTGTCCTAGTTCAAAAGCGGTTCTTTCTTTCTATTTTTAGCCGGCTATTTAGTATCGACTACTAAACAACTAAAAAGGGTAAGAAAAAATAACAATGCTACCAAACATTATAAAACCTAAATAGGATCTCCTAGTTCAAAAGCTACTTAGTCAAGGCAAAACAGCGATTAAGTATCAAAATTTAAATCGAACTTGAACACAGCCTTAAAACGCTTATATTATAATTTTTTTTTGCGATTTCGTTAAAAAAATCTTCCTTTTTTATATATATATATAAAACAATCCAATAAATAAAAATTTTCGAATCGATCGGACAAAAATATTTTTAGGAACAGTCGGACAAAATTATTTGTCGAATCAGGCCGGACCTGAAAAAAAAATTAGTTCGATAGAACGAGGTAAGTGTAGCCGTATACGCAATTTGTTATACTATCTATTAATATATTAAAGAGCCGCCGTTAATCAGCACTATTACATATTGAAACTTTATTTGCTTCTAACTTTACATTAAAAAAAACAAACTTTAAAAAAAAAACTTTTTTGAGAGAATCGGGCATCAGATATCCCAACGTTGCCCAAAGCATCAAGGAATAAAGAACGAAGGCCGTTCCGAGATGAGCCGCTAATCTGTATTGACTAACCCTTGGCACATCATCGTTAAAATGATCGCCATCGGGGTTCGGGGAATGATTCTTTGAGGAAAGTCCTGATTTTACCATATACCAACCTAATAAACCCTAAAAAAGTAAATATTTATATATCATGAAGAATATAAGTTAATTAAATGTGGAAAAAAAACAGAAAACCAAAAAAATAAGTTTTTTTTAATAAAAAATATAAATATTTAGGAAATGTTCCCCTATTTTAATCTAATGCAAATATTACCCTCACTAACATCTATCAAGATTATTATCAATATAATTTTAAATATTTTCGAGAATATATAACATATAATATTCTCAATTATTTAGCTATTTAGAACATATTCCTTATCTGCCTGCAGGCGTAAAATTAATATATAAGTCATTTTCTAGGTAATTTTCAAAGAACTTATTTGCTAGGTAACTTTTTCAAGGAGGTTACTATTATAAAGATGGTGATCAGGTCCGGATCTAGTGCTGATAAATGGCTCCATTTTAACCAGTTATGAGCCAACTATAAATTAAACTGAGTTTTTGTAGCTGAAAAATATCGTCACAACTTTATCAAATCAATTTGTAGGAAATCCGGAATAAAATCAGTTTGAACTTCAAGGCTCTGCAGATATATTATGGCATGTGTTTTCAGCAGGGATGGGCAGTAACGCGATAACTTGTATTTAAAATACTAAATACAAATACCTTTTCTATTTATATTTTTATTTAGTAATTATTGGAATATTTTAGAAAAGTAATTAGTATTTGTATTTTAAATGCTTAATAAAATAATATGTATTTTTTTATTATTAAGATTTCAATATTTTAGATGAATGGAAATAATATTACGTTTTTTTTTTATTATAAATTGAATTATAAAATGTAAATCTACATTTTTTTATTTTAAATAATAAATTTGTGACCCAAGTTAGCTGAAGGTGAAAACGAATTCTGAAGGTGAGAAAGATATAATAACTGAAGAAAAGGAGTTTCTACATATCACGTATGTTTTTATAAAATATTTTTGCCGGAATTTTGTGACAAAGTCAACATCCTCTAAATTTGATTTGACAATATTGGATGAGATTTTTTTCCAAAATATCACCAAAAGATAAATGTAAAGCTCAACTAAAAAATCAAACAAAAATTTTCACCCTCCAAAATTTTATTACACGCTCTGTAAAACGGTTATATCAATTATATTTGGAAATTATTACATAATTTATGGGTATACAATAGCTGCAACAATAAATATATTATTTATAATGCTTGTATTGTATTACTGCAGATATTTGATAATTTAAGAAAATGGTTATATAACAATAAAAATATTATTTTTAAGTTTAAAAAAAATTGAAAGTAGTCTTAAAAAGAATCGACTAGCAAAAAATATTCGCCAAAGTATTTGTATTTATATACTTTTTTTGAAGTGTATTTGTATCTATATCTTTACGAAAATTTATTGCAAATCTTACATTTTTTTTTGAAAATTTCCCCAACCCCTGGCCATCAGTAGCTCATTTAGGAATATTATAAATCAGGATCGCTAATGGAAAGTTTTTTTTCAAGGGCCCTATAAATACAAACATGTTTACAAACTTGAAACCCTAAGAGTAAAGTGTAAGCTATTAATCGTCTCCGCAAAGACGGGTATTTCATGATCCACCCCTTGCTGGCAAAATACAGGGCTGGAATTAGAAAAGTTAGGCCTATGGTTCTACCGCTCATTCTGTGAATCCATTCCATGTACCAAATCCGTTTGAATTCGTTTAAAGTTATATCTACGTTTTTTCTGTGATGATTTTTATTTATTAAAAAAAGAGTATTTTATGGAATGTATCCAAAAATAATATTTTTTGCAGGGTTCTGGACCATTTTAAAATCTATTTAGCGAAAATTTTTATAACAGAAACTTAATCGATAAATGATTTTCTAAAAGAGGTCCAAACCGGCACAGGTCAATATTACCCTAGGTTTGGTGGGTTGCCCGTAAATCGGTCTCAGTTTGGTCTGTGGTCTCAAAATGCCAAACCAAATTAAATTTTTAAACCCGAATTCGGGTCCAGATCCCTGGTTTTTTTTTAGGTTTAAATTATTTTTTTTGAAGGTTCATAAAAATAAAATAGTATACATTTTAAACTCTGGATAAAGCTTGTAATTTTCAAACTCAGTGACCCATTGCTCATTTGTAATTGGGGGAAACTCTTTAAACATATGCCAGCTTACCATCGATAGTCCAGATTCTGTCAATCTAATATTTAAATAATATATTTATTTTAAAAAAACAAATAAGCTATTTAAAAAATTAATATTTTTTTTGTTTTATGCAATAATGTACCCAGCGGGAGGGGCTGAAATATTTTTCAAAAAAATTATTGTGGTGGGGAAAGGGCAGGGTGACAAATCCCACCCCTACCCATTCCCCCTAAAAAAATGCAGATGGCAGAAATATCTTTTCAAATATATTTATTGTTTTATATTAACTTAAATTTTGTAATAATCATATAATCATTCCTTATCTGATCTCTTATTAAACAATTTGATTACATATATTTATCACATTCTTCTATTAATTTATTCTATGAATTAATTTAGATTTCAAATTTTCCTTAGCATAATATTTATCTACCATTTTCAAATTTCCCATCAAATAATTTCAATTTTTTTTTTCACTTTTAAATTATGGATATAAGGTTTTTTACATATATTGATAATGATGACATTCTGAATCCTGCTCATACAAGAAAGGCAAAGATGCATAGAAGATAATTTTAAAAATATTTTATTTTATATTCTTAATAATTAAAATCCCTCCCCTAATAAATACAATTAATGAAACTGCAAATGAAAGAATAATTGATGCTATAGCTGAAAGTCAGGATATAGGGCCATCAAAAGGTTAGCTATACAAATAATAAATTGTAATCAAATGTAATATTTTATGGGTAAACCTATATATATGGTGTTATATTAAACATAATATTTCATAATTTAAAAAGAGAGAGCACAATGATCATCCATATAATATAGCCAATTTTTTGGATAAAGATAATATAGGCCAAGAAGAAAGTTATATACTTATTAAAAAGGTATTAATCCCTCAATTATCAATATACACAATGTGCTAATAGAAAGCTAAAATTTCAAAACAGCTATTTTACCAGATCGTTGTGGCTTGTATACATTATCCAAGATAATAGAGCATATTGCAAGATATGTTGGTCTAAACTATCCTAGAATAAATTTATTTAAGCTTATTAGTCTTGTTAAGAATCATTTAAGTGAACTCCTGATTTCTTCAAAAAAATTAATTCAAAGGATTAGCACAAGAAAATAGATGTAAAATAAAATAAAATAAAATAAACAAGGGTATCCTGTATTATGGATTGCAAGGCCTAGCATTATGTGGTCATATGGATTCAGAAAGCTTGTTATTTGATAATAATAATAATGACAATAATTTTTTGTGGTCTTGAATTTAAGGCATTAGAGAATTCTGCATTAATGGAGAGCCTTAACAGCAATATAAAAATGCTATGTTCAACCCCAGAATTCATAAGAATCATTTTAAAAAAAATTATTCAATGAAATCTATTAATCCACATGATTCTCAATTTTGGTAAATGAGATCAGATATTGCAGGCATTGAGCAGAAGATATAACTGATTCCTGTGTATGCACTAATATTTTAGTGAATACAATTGACCTTTTTTTTGACTATTTTGCCTAAATGATAATCAAAAAACCAATTTCACAGCAAATGAACAAAATCAATATCAGCGGAGCAATTTAATAGAGGAAGCTACAAAATTTAATTGCAAATTATGAATAGTAGCTGGGACTCATTCCCAATTAAATTTGCTTCATTTTTTTCTTTGATATTAATTAGTTCATCTCCTATCATTTTCTATTAATTGTGCTAATTTAATAATTAAATTTTCTGCTAAATTAGCTCATTCATTATTATACTTGCTGCCGATTTTGACATTTTGGTGCTTCATTAAATAAGAGTTATGATTTGACGTCACACCTCTATTTCATATCATTAATAACTCTTAGTTTAGCTAAAAGCTTATATACAATATAAAAAATATTAAAAAGAAAATTACAGTTAATAATAAATACCTTGTTAAGCCTCCAATTACAATAGTAAAAAAGACCATGCCTGAACAAGTAGCTAACCATACTCCTAAAAGTTTTCTAATTTTTGGATCGTCAATACGCCTATTATATGAAATATCTTTTATAGCATTTCCTATTATCAAAGTTGATTTATTTCTAATTATTAGGTATGCCTTGAAAGATTGATTGATTCCATTTTTATACTAATTATATCCTAAAAATTTATAGATACATATGATATACCTTATTTAACTGAGAGAAATTTTTTGTATACTTTAAGTTATTAATAAAGTATAGTGTGGATTTCTGAATTTGTTTCAAAATTCCATATGTTAACATATTATTTTAGGTTATGGTTCTAAGCGGCGAAATTATAAAAAAGGGAAAAATATTTTGTCGATTTATTTACTATATTACAAATATTCCCGCAGACATTCCACAAAGCAATCAGTAAAATTATATTTTTAGCTTTCAAATAAACTAAAATACCATCCAACTTTGAACCAGGGATGTGAACCCTTCGACAAAAAAAGGGTCCATGTCCAGGTTCGGGTAAAATTTGAAAAGAATCCAGGACCAGAGTTCGGGTCCAGGTTCAGGGAACATAAAAATATTGACTCAAAATAAGATTTTTTTATCCATTTATTATTATACTTCAATATATGCATATTCACAATTTACAAATGAAAAATTCAAAAATGAAATAATTTATATTTTGAATGTTTTATTCAATCGCACAATCATAATATCTTCTAAAATATTATCCTTGAAATATCTACGTAAAGTAGACAATATATATTTCAAAAATGAAAATTCACGTTTTACTCATACCTAAAATAGATAGTTATCTTTATAAAATTATTGTACTTGTGTCGCCGGTACAGCCATGAAGATTCTAGATAAGATATATAATTCTGGACATATTGAAGAATTTTCTTCCCAGAATTTTAAAATATTTATATCCTTATTTATTCTCTTAACTTCTGAGAACTTTACTATTAAAGATGCAATAGGCATTTTTTGATCCTCCTTTCTATCTGACGATAATTTGATTTTTTTTCTTTATCTAAAAGTAAAATTTTATGATCATCAATGTTGCTATCATTATTATTATTATCACTACAAACAGTAGATATTGTCGTAGCCTCCAATATATTGTAAATAATTGAGTTTTGCGTGAGTATGCCATAAATCCTTAAGAAAGATGGTCTTTAGCCATTTATTTTTGCTTAATACTCAATAAAACTTGATAGCGAGGGTCTAAATATATAGAAGCGTACACAACACTATTTCGCAAATATTGTTGCTCTCAAATTTTCATGTTTTCTAATATTTCGTATAAAAAGGACTGTAAATTTTTCTTAATCTAATCGACATCTAATCCATATGCCACAAAAATCAAATAAACATAATTGTTCTGATTTTAATCTTAATATTGTTATCTTTAAAGGAACTAATACACTAGTAAGATCCTTTATTTGGCACCAATCATCTTCCGACAAAATGACATCATATACTCCTAACAGAAATCTATCAAACTTATTAATAGTTCTAGCATCATACATATTGAGGACCAACGTGTTATGCATTATCATTTTAATTAAAATATTATTACACAATTAACTTTAAAAATAATCAACGTATTTCTATAACATAGCATATTAAAAAAATTACATAATAAAATATTATTACCTACACTAATGATATAAATCTCTAAAGAAAATTGAAGTCCAGGAAGAAAATTGAAAGAAACGAAGATAAAATAAATGATTCCACAAAAAAAATAATAAAATTAAAAAAATTTATATTATTTTTAGAAATTTTTATGACACCTTGAACCCTCCAATTTTAAAAAGGGTCCAGGTTCGGGTTCAGCCAAATTACGAGATTTCCGGGTCCGGATTCACATCCCTGCTTTGAACCAATTGATTTCCTCAATGGTAGTTTAAAAAGGCCTAAATAATATTACTTTAACACCTTGGTCTAATAGCCCTTCATAACCTGAGATTACACTTGTATTTTATATCACCACTAAATTAAAATTATATAATTCACACCTTGCCCTAAATCATGTAGAGTACACATTAAAAAAAGCAAATACTCAGTCGTCAGACTTTGACGTCGATAGCTATCTCGGAAGTTTGTGGGAACTAACCTTTCTAATAGGACCATACTGTGCCTAGTGTAAATAGAAATATTAACTAAGCTTGTTAATCGATCGTATTTATTATTATAAGGATCGAATCACGATCTTATGAAAGAGAATAGAAATCTAAGAGCGATCTTTTTTTTAAAAAAAAGGGATCACGATCTTTTTCTTATTTTTCCTACACTCAGAAAAAAACCATATATTTTAAATGAAACATTTGGAGAATTTCTAGATGATTCTGATGAAGCATCAACATTTACCGATGAAAACTATGAGAATGAACTTAAAGGATTCATCACTCCAATGACATTATTTTGAAGTTTTGGAAGCACGAAAATTCATTTACTTATTAGCGAGTAAAATTTTGTCAGTCCAGAAAATTCGGCTATTAGTGAAGTTATTTTCTGTCATTTGCTTATTATAGGAAAGGCATACATAATTGTAATAAAAAACATGGACATTCTTCTTTTTCTATATAAAAATTTTGATTAATAATTTGTATTTATTTTTTATATGGAATTAAAGAAATAAACAGAATAAATTTAAAAATGTGTAAAATTATAAAAATAGTTTTGAAAATTCAAAAACACCTTGAATTTTCGAGCGTGGGTCGAAATATTGCATTTCGTGAGCTGGTGGGTCGAGTGAAAATAATTTTTAGTGTTAAGCGTAAATGGGCCTGAATTTTTTTTTTGCCACCGTGAGCAAATATAACCGCACCTACCTCTACTATATATTAAATTGACTTATTGCTTATGTTATAAGAAAAGATGATAAGTAAGAATCTGGCACTTATACATCCCCAGGAGAACTACGTATCTTAATCGGCCTCCTCTCGACAGAAATATGGACACCCAACACAGCTGCAGTTTATGCAATATCCAGATAGTTAAGGACACTATTCTTTATATTGCAGGCACTCAAAGGCATACATTCATGCCATTTGCAATTCTTTCATGCAAAAGGTCCTATCTACTACTCTCATTCATTCAACGCTAGAGATGAATGAAAATTAGTTTTTTTAAAATAAAAAAATTTACAAAACAATTAATTAAATCTTTTTTTAAATATCTAAATTTAAAAGGAAAAGTAAATCGAAATATAACTTTTTAAATATATTAATTTCAGTTTCAAGTATATTATGATAAAGTGTCACGTTATCAAATGACTGAATGATAAAGTGTGTTGTGATAGTGTCATCGTAATTATAAGCGATAAAGTGTCTCCGAGCCGGTTTGGGCAAAGAGAAAGAAAGGAGGCTAATTATGTAAGTTGGTTGACTGGAAAATGATGTATATATAAATGAAAATGAGAGAAAGATTAACTCTAAAATAGGAACATTTAATAGAACGGGATAAATAAATTAATCTATATTATAATTTTCCGATGTCCTTATTACGTCATCGTGACGTCATGTCATCGCTACGTCATGTCATCGGTACGTATTTTTTTTTATTTGTTGATTTTATTTATTTATTTTATACAAACAGATTATCCTACCAACAGTCTTAATTTATTTTTAAATAGATTATATTTTTTATTATTTTTAGCGATTATTACTTTTAGCGATTTAGAACGGGAACCATATTTGTTAATAACATTTTATCACATTTGATTTTGCAAAAATGGATAGATATTTATAAATAATACTGCTTGGACGATGGTTCAACAATCATTTTCCTTGAATTCCTGAAATCGGAGTGCCAGTTATTTAAAAAAATTCTTAAGGGCACTCTAGGATTTTCACGAAAAACAAGCTGAAGGCTATGGATCATACAAGTATATTGTAAATCCTAAAATGGTAATATCTTTTAAAATAATGATAATAACTTAATATAAAAATGATTACCCAATAAATCTTAAATCTCCCTCCCTTGTATTTTACATATTTTGGTACCCAACAAAATCTTAAATCTCCCTCCCTTGTATTATACATATATTGATAAGTCTACTTATGGGCAAGCTGCACTATAATTTAGCTTTTATATCTATTCCAAAAAATCGATTATTTTTTTATAATTTAAATAAATTTATATTATTTTATACATCATACTATTTTTTAGGCTATCTATTTTGTCGGGTAGCACAATATGCCCTTTTATCTCTGATGAATATTTTGTCTAACTAACTGAAAAATATACAAAGTATATTTTTAATATTTAACTAAATTAATACAATTTTTAAGGATCCTACTTTTTTAAAAGCTTACCATTTTGTCAGATCTACCATTACTCTATTATCCCTGCTGTTTTGTGTGATGCTCAAAAAATACATAGATATAGGATTTTTTATCTATTCCAAAAAATCAATATATATTACAATATTTATTTCTATTCAATTAAATTATATATTTATTCTTAAGGATCCTACCTTTTTTAACAATACTCCGTTTTATTCTTTCAATAAAAAATACTAAACGGAGCTTTCTATTTTTAGGATTTTATATTTATTCCAAAAAAATACATATTATGGTATTTATATATTATTTAAATTATTCTATACCTATATTCACAAGGATCCTATTTTTTTAAGTTTGCCAATTGGTCTCTCCGAATGGTATTTTATTTTAATACTACCTTATAAAATTAACTTGAGAATTTTTTTTTACTTTAGAAAACTATCCCCATCTTATTTCCTCTTTATAATTGTTCAAATATTGATATATCAGCCATTAATAATGAACAAATGCAAAATAAATTTTTAGAATATCATAATAGGCTAGTCCCCCCAAAAAATTTTTTGATGATAGTTCTTATATGCATCTAATATTGACCCATCTACTGGTTTACATTATTTTAATGTTTGTTAATTTCAACAATAGTTTATTTATATTTTTGCCTGATTTCTTTATTTGTCTAGGCTAACCCTAATCCTTCACATTGCTAGAAAACATGATGAATCTAGTATTAAAGATAAGCAAAGAAAATAACGACGATTAAACAAATGCCTTACCCGTTCTAGAGTTACTGGTAGACAAAATAATAAAGAACTACGCTTGAAATGAACTCATCTGGAGGTTTATTTTGTTTTTTTTATCTTATATTTTATATCTATGTTTATTTTATTTTCACACAGTTCTCCAAATGATATTTCTTTCACCACTACCACAATCCCTATACCACCTCGGCCTATTTTTTAACAAATATAAGCATTTAATTCCGTACTATCATTTACTTCACTAGGAGTTAACATAAATATTAATTTATCCGATTCTCTGAGAAACTTTCATGAATATTTAGAGGAATGTTCAAACTTGAATGTACAGTACGGCCAATTTCATCAACTTTATTAATGGAAAAATATGCAGTAGTTCTGTCGTGGCCTTTATAACAATACTTACAACCGTTTTATGGTTGAGTTAACATTGTCGTTCATGATTCTATTTTAGAGGGGGATACCAATGCTGACATTGACAGAAATATTGTTTTGCGTTCTTCTTTTACCAGTATACCAAGGCATAGGCATATCATCTTTATCAGGACGTAATGTGTTTTGTACACTGCTTTGTTAATCCGTCATTACTTTCATCTACAACCCTAATTGATATAAAATTATAGATTAATTATTTCCTCTCCAGACGACCGCCCAGATTTATTTTGTCGCTTTTTCCTTCAAAAATTAAAATGTCAACAAGGATTTGCTCTTAATTTTATCAAATACATAATAACTAATCCTCATTATTTTTTAAAAAAATTATCCTAAATTTATGTCAATAAAAAAAATATCTTAAAAAATATATAAATAATTTGTATATAAGTTACATTAGTGTTTAATGGCATTTTTGTAATTTAAATAGATAGCATTTTTTTTACTTAACATAAAAATATATATATCCCTTATCAAATTCTTTGACAGATAATTTCGGAAATGCAAGACATACATCTGAAAAACAACAATAACCCTATATAATAAACAACAATTTATTTTTTAGATATAATATAAGAGTCGGTTATTTTTATTTTATTTGTCATGATTATCTAATAAGTGGTTGCCCAGGCCTTCCCAGTTTCCCTTAATACGGAATTTACATGATTTTTTTCCATATTAGACAAATCAGATATTTCCCGTTCATGTGATGATATTAAAAATTTAACTATCTCCGAGGCGGGAAAAAATTTTCAAAATTATAATGGGTAGGACTGGGCTTGGAACCTCAAAATTAATATTAGCTTGCACCTGACTTGCGAATATCTTTTACAAATTATTAAGGGTTGAGCTGGGCTTGATAAACTTTTTTAAAATGATAAGATCATGGATGCTTCATAATATTGTGAGCTTTAACCTGGCATGACATCTATCGTTAAAAATGAATAAAAATCTCATTCCCCGTCATTTTTGACGGGCTTTCTACTAGTATTAATAATTTGAAATAAGAGCTATAATTGATATTGTGAAAAAATTAGATAGTTATTAAAGAAATTTTGCATAAAAAAATAATGTGCCAGGATAGACTTTTCGTAAAACTATAACGGGTTGGGCTTGACTTTTTGTAAAATCTTATGGGCAAGGCCAGGCAAATTTAAATATAATTATAACAAGTTGGCCTTGGTTGGGTGGGCAAATTTTCTTGTGCAAATAAAGGGCCAAATCTCGTTGATCTTTGCAGACCTCTAATAATTGGCCTTAATCCTTGATATTTTTTAAAAATTGGTTATTGGCTATAAATTTACTGTATTAAATAATGGCGTTTTAGGAAATTTATTTATTTTTGTCAAGATATTTTCACCACTTCTATTTCTTTAAAAGAAATCTTGACAAATTATATAGATCTAAACCAGCCATATTCGATTTATATATTGCAATTGTTAGGTTTATATTTGGGATTGGTGCATCTATTTTTAATGGTAAATTTAATATTATATGAATATTTAATTCCAATGATAATCTTATAAAACAATACTTATTGAAAAAACTATACATATATTTTTAGCTATAATTAACTCACAAATTAAAATCTTAGTACTTCGACACAGTGTTGTTAAAAGACTCATTTTGAGCCGATTTTTTAAAATGGCTAACTCAATATTGTAGCCAGAAAAATATTGCCTAAGCCTCGAGATTTCGGTTATATATGTTTAGACCTTTGTTCCCTCTTTGAGCAAAATCTTCAGGCTTGCATAATATTTTTCTGGATAAAATATTGAGTTAGCCGTTTTTAAAAATCGGCTCAAAATGAGCCGTTTAACAACACTACTTCGACACCATATCAAATATATGGATAAAAATAACACAGAATTCTATGAGTTACTACAATGTTTTCAGCAACATTAATAATAACTCTTCACAAAAATACGAGCAACATAATGAAAATAATAGCAATTTAAGCCAAAATGTTAACTATTACGATTACCTTTATAAAAGAAATGCCGATCATAATAACTAATTTATTTTTAAATTTTTGTAAAAAATTGAAACCGCTTGAAATTTATAATAACCATTTTAGAGAAACATATTTTTGCTTGTATCTTTTTTTTTGTAAAAAACATTAATAACTGGTGACTGTACATATGTAAAAAAATATAAGCTACTCTATGCATTATATTGCTTTTATTTAAAAATAATAAATTAAACAATAAAATCAGGATTGGATTGTAATAAATTTATGAATCTATTAGGTGTTTAACGTTCAAATTTGTGCACCACACATTACAATAATATACAATATAACATATGATAGCTACATTGGTCGAAAAAAAAAGACAGCTCATAATCCAAATATACATGAAAGTATTAAGACCTTGAAATTCTAAATTGTAAGCAAAAAATAACCAACCAACTTTCGTGATTAGCCAAAGTGTTATTAACAAGATAGGAAGTTTACCAAATGTTTTTAAGCTGAATTGTTCAAGCTCATTAAAAGATGGGGCTAATACAATGGGCAAAAAAATTAAAGGCCATAAGAAATATTGGGATGTTATAACTTTGTTAAATGTTACAAAAGTAAGTGTAATGATTAAAAGGCAACTAGCAAGTTTGTGTATATGATGTGAAACTATGATAGACAATTGATTACCATTAAATATTTCATATACATTAAATATTTTGAAAGGAATGTATAGGGATATGACAGTGACACTTAATTTATCTAGAGATAATAGTTGATATAATTTTATTAAATCTAATTGTGTTTCAAAATGGGATAAAATTGGAGTGCTAAGTGATAAATATGTGGGATAAAAATGCATTGAAAAATTATGCTTAAAATCTTTGCGATATATTAGATGATAAAGAAACGCCGAATTTATATAAGGTTGATGAAATATTTTATAAAAATAGAATGTTAAAATGGTAAATGTCAAGAATGCAGTTCCAAAAAATATAAAATGCTGATTATTAAAAATAAATTTAGGAAATTTTGAATTTCTCTGAAGCAGAAAGAAATAAAATGTTGGTATAAATAAAATAGGAAAAATTCTAAGGTGAATACACAAGCCATATAAAAAGCCTGCAATAAGCCAAGAATTTGGTTTATTTATTTCATGAAGTAAAAATGCAAATAAACAACAAATTAATGAATCAAAATTACCTCTTGTTGATATTGCAATGACCAAAGGATTATATAACCAAATATATTTAATAAGAAATAATAAAGTTGTACTAGAGTGAGCATGGAGTAAAATTGAGGATAATTTATTTATAAACAAAGCTGCTACTATATCTGAAGAAGCATAAATAAATTTACAAAGTCCACTTACAAAATATATATCAATTAAGGTTATATATGCAATCAATGGACTATATCTATAAGTTGGGTTTATAATATATAAATCTACAAATTTTGGTGATTTCAATGTATGAGATGCTTGCAAATAAACATCATAGTCAATATCAGTGTATTTTACGCGAAAATATTTATCTTGCAGCATAGAATATGTTATCAATATAACTCTAATCATATATGCCATAATAAATATAAAGCAATTCATCATATATGGTGTTATTTCTAATCCTCAATTGAATTAACAACTGGAAATGATAATTTGTCTAATAATTCATCTACTTCTTCCTGAAGTGATTCAACAATGTCAGAAGAAACAAAGATATGTGTATCATCTAAGTCCTTAATATTATATAATACAATTAAAACATTTTTAAAAAAAACTTGAATTATAAATTTTTTGCCCAATTTTGAAGTTTCATCGAGATAAATTAAAAACTGTTTCATAGTTGAATCACTTAAATACCTGTTTATAAAAATAATTTGCATAAAGTTTACCATTCAATCATGACTCCTTTTATCACATTTACCATGTTTATCACTAAAAAAATATATAGCCCCTTGACAGCTGTTAAATACTGACAACATTATGTCATGATGATACAAATATTAGAATCATAAAATTCATTAGAACCAATCATATTTTAAAAAATGACAATTTAGAAAACATAATGGAAAATACTAAATATTAGAGCGTTTTAATATCATAATATATTATAACTCTCTAACCCGGTATGTTCACACTAAATTATAGAATTAAACATAATAATTTAAAAAGTTAATCATAACTTCGTTCATTAATGTAACCTTTGCGATTGCGCCAATTTCTCTATAACATGTTTTGCAGGTGGCAGGGGTATCACCGGGCCCGTAGCCATGAATTTTCAGCTAGGGGGCCAACTGCTTAGTTGAGGGGGCCAGCTGCTTAGTGGGGGCCACTATTTTTTAAAAATAAAACAAATTAAGCATTCATAGAAATTTTTTGCCATTTTTATTAAAAATTTATTAATGTATTTGAATACAAAATAATACTATAATATGAATATACAAAACAATTATATAATGACGATTTTTTATTTTTAAATTTTAACATAAATTAATTAATGAATAAATTTTCTGTTATGTTTTTTTATAAGCCATCAATACGAAATTTGCTTACATTGATCTTTGATCGACTCTGTAGTGCTTGATCGACTCTCTTTGATGTAGAGAACGAGGCCTCGAAGCCGCTGATACCCCAATGATGATGGCTGCTTAGTAGAATTTATACACTTTTTTAAATGCATGATATTTTTTTATACATATTATTTAGGATATAACAATTATGTGTTTCTTTAACTTCTGCAGCTAATAATCTTTAGCTTTTTCATTTTATGATGTAACGTTCCTATATTTAAGTTTAATAATGATTCTAATGGGACCATTTTATCTGATATAAAATAATCAGGTTCAAAGGGGGACAATGTATTAAAACATGTTAGTAGATTATAATCATCTTGTTTAAATCTATCTAAAAAACGATCAACAGAGTAATCAATAATTTCATAATATATCCTAGTCCATTTCACAATCAAATTGTATTTTGGACTCGACTAAAAAATCTTGAAAGTTTATATTAGTTTTACCTAACATTGATAATTTTTGGGGATTATATTCTTCTAAAATTTTATCAGCCTTAATTCTAGTCAAATCAAAAGAATTATCGCTTCTTCTTTTTTTTTATTATATTGATTGTTGGATCAATACAAGATAGTAACGATTACGGTTAATTTGTCGTCTTACCAAAATTGTTGTTAATTCAGTATCCTTATTTATATTTAGATTTTTGTCAAGCCAAATTGTTATTGAATTTTAATAAGCGTTTGAGCTTTCAGGTTTAGCAATCCCTTATTTGCAACTAACGCATTTTTCCAATTTCTGAATCTCTTTTGTCAAAATTCATCATTTGGGCTACACAAGTATTTCCTACATAGAAAACAAAAAGCAGCGTCAGCTTCTACACTGTACTCCAACATGTCTCGACTTCTATACCATGATTTTAGAAATAATCTCAGCTTTCCATGGATATCTTGTTTTACGGAATTGATTTATTTGATTTGCTTTGGTTCATTCTGGCCAAGATCACCTGGGATTTAAATTGAACTTGAATTATTAGAGGATTTTTTTTACAATATATAGGTATTGCCAACCCTATAGAGATTAGTTTTTGCTCATATAAGTTAAGGTCAAATAATTCCTCACTAAGTAACAAAATATAATAGAAATTTATACTTACTATAAGCAGAATCAATTTCAGGAATTTCTGATGTTGTAATACTAGTAGATTGTAGGAGTTGTGACATAGGCATAGCCAGGGGGGGGGCAAAGAGAAATTCCAGTCCCCCCCCCCCCAGAAATTTATCACTTTTTGTGAATATCATTTTAAGTTAATAAAAAATATACCCCTTAGTCTTCCCTCTTCCCCCACTCCCTTACCTCTAAAAATGTATGCATATAACTTAAACAATAATTTGAAAGAAAGAATGTAAAAATTAATATTTTTTTATAAAAATATTCATCATACTATATACATTTTTGGAAAAAAGCATTTATATATTAAAAAAATATGAACCAAAATATTTTTTAAGAAATGGAATATAAGATAAGTCTTAAGACAAAAGTGAAATGTATTATAATTATTATTAATAAATCCATAAAATTACTAAATAATACAATATATAAAATATATAATTTTTTATAAAGTGAGTAATTTTAATTTATTTATCTTAATAAAAGTAAAATATAATTATAAAACTATTGATAAAATTAAATCATAAATTAAATAAAAAAAATTAAAAGACAATACAAAAAGTGGAATATTATATGTTGTAGATTTAGAGTATATCGAATTTTATCAATTATCATATGACAATCATGTAATTTTTTACTAATATAGCGAATAATATATCTTACAGAAAACTATAAAATATTGATAAGGAAGAAAATATCTTTTAAAAATATTGTGGGATAAATTATATGAAGATTTTTAATATTTTATTTAAAATAAATAGATGGCCTTAAATAATTGAATACTGTTGCTATATTTATTATCAAGAACATGATTAGTAAAATTTGTTAAAATATTAACTGTAATATATTCTCTAACTGTCAAATATGTATGTAAAAGTGGAATTTCACCTAGTATTTTGTAACTAATTCTATATAATAGAGGATTATCAACTATATATCTGCTTACTTTTTATAAAGAAATTTCTTATACTTGTTTGGAATAAATTATTACCGTGCTTTTATATTAATGTATATACAAGTAATTTATTATATTTTATATAAACTAATAAAAATATATTTCATATTTGTTCTAGGCTTATTTTTTTTTATTAAAATTAACCTCCTATCTTGTACAAATATTTTATGATTATATATAGAATAAGGTAACCCGGTCGAAGGCTGAACAAAAGCGGGCCGAAGGCCTGCCCTAAAGGGGTCTGGAAACGAAGCCACCATTTTTTAATTCCCCCCCCCTTAGGAAAATTTTGGCTACGCCTATGAGTTGTGATGTTACTTTTGTTGAACTTATAGGAATTAATAAAAGATTGTTTCTGTTTCTTCATATTTTTAAAAAATTTACAGCTGTTTTAAATAACTGTTTATATTATAATAATATTGTGATTGAACTATAATAAATAAAATAATTATCATTGATATAAGTACAATTTAATGATACCTAATAATTAAGCGCCTTATAATTGACCAAAACAATTTTATTTAATGGCCAATGAATAAATTGGATAGTGTGCCTGAATTAAGATTCCTTTATTTAAATTTAATATTGTTGATTTATATCATGATCATATATTTTTAAATGTTGATATTATATTTTGTTAAGAAAATTTATTATATCTTATAAAATATTTTTAAATTTTCTGTGACTTTAATTTTATAATAAAATGTATTCAATTCTTATACATTTTTAAATTTAGGTTATGCTTATGATTATGTAAGAAATACATATGTGAATATGTTAAAATAAGTAAATACTGATAGGAACACAGCAGAGTTGTTAAAGTAGCGCGCTAATTTTTTGGTAGCTATAGCGGCTATTATTTTTGTAATTATTTTATTTTTTAGCGCGCAAAACTGGTTTCAAATTTATTTCTTTAAAATGTTAAAAAAATATTTCCTCAAATCAATCCAGTAGCCAATGATAATATATCATTGCCAGTAGCTAAACCTCAAGAAACCACGTCATTGTTTAAAAAATATAATATGTGTAAATATTTCGTAAATGCATTTGATTAGTATATACATGACATCATGATTTATTCATTATTTGAAATATATATAGAAATAGAACTTAAAGAATACGATTTTTTTAAGTATGTAATTGTTAACAATAATTCCTATAAAATAAAGATGATAAATTAAAAAAATAATAGAACATAAAATATAGGGATTCAATTTGTTTCATAAACAAACACATATTTCGAACATTTATAATTTCATGGCAAACTAAATATAATATTTAAGAATTTAATAAAAGGTCACATTTCGATTTTAATAAATAAAAAAAAAATTTTTTTATTATTTTTTGGTCTATAAAAAGAAGAACTATTTAATATTCTCTGATGTAAAAAGAGTGTACAAATTTTTTAAAAAAATAATAATTTAAATTTCATAATAAATGATTTGTGATTATATAATTTCAAAGTAAAATAAAGATTTTATAATACATATAATTTTCAATCTATTTTCGAAGGTAAGAGTTTCTTAATAGTGTTGTTAACGGTCGATATGAGCTGATTTTTATAAACAATGATCATAAAACTTGAATAATTTTTTCGCCATAGCCACCACCTATTTTGACTAGGATTTTGTTGAATTCGTAATTTTTTGTAGTTGGATTCTAAAAAAAATATTTTAATAAAGCTTTGTGAAATGACAGTGTCCTAGATAGTGAAGGTCACATTCGGGAGCGGCCCAGACTAGACCGAACCACAGTTTTCAAATAAAAAACTGGTTTAGACAGTGGTAATTATTTTGTATTTTTCCTGATTTAATTCTTATTTTATCATTTTTATGTTAACAAAAATCAAAAATATTAATAATATATAAATATTTAATTTAAGTAAATTGTTTTTTTTTTAAAAAACTTTTTCGTTTTCATAGTATATTGCAAAATTAGGAAAAGGAATCCCTAACAATAAAGTAACTACTCTAGTAATAAAGCAAACTTAAATATTAATATAAGATAGATCCGGACAAAAATAATTTAAAACCCGGTCCGAACTGCTGTCCTCAAAAAAGACCGGTTCGGTCCCAGTTTAAGACAGATATTCGTTATTTATTTTTAAAACATAGTAACTTTTAACAATCTAAAAAAGCAAGATAAAATACAATATTTTTTTTTAAAAAAATATGTTAATTTCTGGCGTTGGGAAATAGGAATCATATTAATGAGTACGTTTTTTTTAATTTGAAAGATATGATTTCGCAGGCAAAAAAAAAGGTATTCCAATATGTGTAGAAAATCTATATTATTTAATTTAATTAAACATCCGGAAATTTGATATACTTATTTAAATATCTCTAATTACATTAAAAATATATTTTTCTTAATGTTAGTATGTCCATTATTAAATACTAGTGCTGTAAACGTTACTTCAAAAAAACGAAACGCGTTACTCGTTACGTTTGAAAAAAGGAAAGCGTTTCCGTTAATCGTTACCTTGTGAAAAAAGTAAAGGGTTACTTAAGATAATACTAAATATATATATAAAATTATAATTTATTTATTTATATATAAATTTTTCAGGTTAATGTTAAATACCACCAAGTCGATATATAACAGTTTTCTAAAACGACTAATTATTTTTCAAAGTGCAATAAAATCCATTTTTTAAATATATTAATTGATGAAATCTGATCACCTCAGATAGCAATCACTAATTGGATTCGGGAAAAAAATATGCTCCTTGCTGGATACTATCGGATTGGCAAGCTATGCTTTTATCGACTATCTACAGACGCTTACCGAAAATAACAATTGTTTTAAATATATGTTATTATAAACAAATGCGGCAGTATCTCGATTAGTGTTGTTAAACGGCTCGATTTCGCCATTTTTAAATTAAGATTTTAACCAAACTAATATTCAACTAGCCATGAGATTCCGTTGGTGGATTTCCAAACCTTTTCCCCAGGTTTGCGGAATATATATATATTTTTTTGGCTAAAATATTTACTTAGCCGTTTTTAAAAATTGAGCCGATACAAATTAATAATATCGTTAGTAGATTTCCAAACTTTTTCCGCCACCTAATAACAAATTTTCAGGTTTGTGGAAAATATATATATATTTTTTTTTGCTAAATTATTTCCTTAGCCGTTTTTAAAAATTGAGCCGATCCAAATTAATAATAAAAAAAATACAGATTGATTCAATACTGCCTTTGACAGTATTTAACACATTAATCGAATTTTTGCAACATTAAAATACATATAAAATTATAAATAATAAACTAAAAAATATCTATTATGCAAGAAAATTTTTTTTAAAAATAAATTATCTGATGGTGTAATGAGATTACATTTATCCTGCATATTTCTAATGATTTTTTTAGGATATAGAAGCTTTCCATAGCTATTCTCAATATTGTGGGAAATTTTTCCTACCAATTATTTGTACAAATTACAGGAACGCGACCCCAAAATTACCAAGAATAATGCTAATTAACTGGATAAAATTATGGTTTGATAGAAAGGTGTATATTTTAATATTTTATTATATTCCGCGATCTCTGCGGATTGGTTTTAATATTAGATGTAGCGAATATGTCGATACATAAGTCCCAGGCAAAGGGATGAGGGATATTAAATTTATTATTTTCCCATATATAATAAAACTAATGTTATAAAAAATAATATATTATAAGAATTATTTCTGTAATAATTCTTATTTATTTTTAACAAATGATTTTCAAAATTTTGCTCAGCCAAACAAGAATGTCATTGATCAATGAAGCTATCTCTGTGCTAAACAACGTGTTCAGCTGGTGCAGAGGATGGGAGGGCTATATAATATATGACCTGCAGGCCCGGCCCTAAGCCATAACTATGTACACCGGTCTGGCCATATTTTAATTTTTTTTAAAGTACCCGGGCCGGGTTGTATATTTTAAATCGCCATTAGCTTTAAAAATTAAATATAATATATTTTTTTTAAATTCGGACCGGGTCTGAAAATATAAAACTCGGCCGGGCCGGAAAAAATTATAGCCGGGCCATGCACATTGTACCTCTACAAGATTGCTATATATAATTTTTAACTGGGGGAATTTATTAAAATATTTAAGAAATGATCTATATTTTCACAAAAAAAACTTATTAGATTATCTACACAAGAATCTCCATTCAGATCCAAATCAATTATTTTATCTTGATCAGAATTTAACCTGAATTTATAAATTTGCTTATATATGTTTTTTCAGAGAGCTGCTGGACATTGAGGTTGAAATATTTGAATCATAGCTCAATCTACAAGGGCAAAGTTTAGATATCATGGCCTAAATTTCCTAATTTGGGTATAAAAAAATAATGTTTCATAGCGGCGATTAAATCATCTTAATCTAAAGAAATAAGTAACTATTGAAGGTATCTCTTTATAAAATAAATAAAAATATTAGAGAATATAGATTAAGGTATCTTAATTCAATATTAATAGATTAAAAGTCTTGATTATAAAATTCAACAACAAAAATGTAATAAATAAACTTTATTAATTAATCTGAATTAAAAACTCGGCTTAAGTTACTTATAAGATAAAAATTTTAAGTAACGAGTAACGCTCTGCATACCTTTTATTGCAGGAAACGCATTAGTTCCTTTTTTTCAAAAAATGTAACGAAGTTACTTTCATCGACGTTACTTTACAGCAGCACTTATAAATACCATTATTAAATAAATATGAATACATTATTTTAAAAAATTTTAAAATTACATATAAGGATTCAACATAAACTGTTCCTTTCCTCAGACTATCATTGCCGGATATATAAAATTTTATCCTCATATATTGATTGCCATCGGTCGTCCTATAAATTTCGTGGCTAAAAAATATATTTATATAATTTAAATTGTAATTAATTAGTTATCATATTGAATGCAATAATTAAAGATAAATATAACATTATTATGAAAAATTTAGTGTTGTCGGCTAGATTTTTCAAAATGGCTAATGCAATATTTTAGCCAAAAAATATTAAGCCTGAAGATTTTACTCATTGACAGCAGCAAGGTTTGTGTCTATTAACGAAATCTCTAAGCTCACACGTTATTTTTGACTAAAATATTACTGTTAGCCGTTTTTAAAAATCGTGCCATTTAACAACACTAGTGAAATTGTTTCCTATAAATACAGGAATTTTTAAGGCAGCAACAAAATCTTAATCTATAAAATTATGATTATAACGAGAGAGCAGTTTAGATTGTTAATTAAAAAAAAATTTAATTTTCAAATCTGAAATGAGTTTATAAATTAATAATTAAACTTAAAAGCAGGGTTTGAGAAAAACGTTTAAAAAATTTTTGAATTTATTTTTTTGAAGAACACAAGATTCTTGATTAAATTTTATCTAAAAATGCCAAAATATTTTTTAAAAAATTGTTTGTAATTAACACGCATAAAAAAATATTCAGCTGAAAATCAAAAAATTTAAGATTTTCAAACTCTGCTAAAAAATATTCATTAAAGGCATAAATTATGGTGGAATTTTAAACATAACAATAAATGAAGTAACGAATTTCATTTGTTGGATATTTCATTTCCTATAAAATAGGCTGCATTGTTACATGGCTGCTAACTCTATGAGTGTTGTTAAATGGCTTGATCATTTATGAGCAAAATCTTTAGGCTTGAGTAATATTTTTCTGAATAAATCAAGACATTTAACAACACTAATGTGTTTAAATTTTGAACCAGGCTCAAGTCTAAAAATAAATTAGGATTCTAGCCTTCTATAAAAATATATCTAAAATTTGGGAATGAAGATATGTGCAGGACTAGACTCTGGAAAGAATTGGCATCTAATTACAGTGTTTTATACAGGCATTTTTTGTCAATGATATAAATGTTAATTATTATCCAAGAATTCATGGTCCTACAAATTAAGTTTTCAAAGGTAGTTTGGGACATAACATATAAATATGATAAAACTTAATAAATCTCCTTCTACCCCTACCAGAGTCTTCTCCAAATGCTTTCAATGGTGAGCCTAACAAATCAGTAACCTTGAATATTAAGTCTAATGGTTATTATAATGATGTAAAAAATTAACTTGATTATTAGTTTTTATGATCTTGAATGCTTTAGAAAAAATAGATGTTGGTGTATTAGAAGAAAAAAGTTCCTTGCCTATAATATAAAATAAAAACCCTAAAATTAATGTCAATTTATATGTGTATATATTTATTTTAAAACCAGTCACACCAAATCCAACTAAAATAATTCCCAAATAAGAGATGTTTTTTGTTGTTTCTTTAACTATTAAAGTAACCAGTAAGATTATATGAATTTATTATCAACTTCTTTCTCCCATAAACTTTTGAGGTACTTGTGAACTCTTGTTTTCTACTATTTTTATTTGTCTCTCATTAAATATATTGGATGTAGATATAGTCGCATAAATGGTATGTTCTTTTAAAGAAGGCGAATGTTTTAAAATTTGCTTACAAACACTATATAAGTAAATGTTATTTTTGCTCATTTCAAATTTATTTTATTAAAACATATGATTTATTATGAATGTATGTTTAAAATAAAACTTTGATATATCATTATGTTTTATAAAGGTAATTTTATCCATTTTATTCCAGTTTTTTTTTTAAATTTCAATCTATTTTTATTTTTATCTTTAAATATAATTCAGGATTGATCTTTTCAACATAAAATCATATAAATAGTCTTTTTAGAACATGCGGAATTTGACAAATTTACTTTATTATTATTTATCAAAATTAGCGTATAAAATAAATTTACTAAATATAAGGATAAAATTTTTTATGTCTTGCCCATTGGTATCCTCTGAACTGACTATGTAGGGTTATTTAAAACTACTTTATAGATTAGGATTTCCTAAAAAAATTAGGGCGCTCCTTAATCAAGGATTCGTCTTACTTCTTACGTCAATTATCTTGACAATCTATAGTAATAGATAGGATTTTACTAAGAGGGGGGGGGGGGGGGGTAAAGCACTATTAGGTGGGATTTCAAATTTTATTAGAGATCTTTGGTCCTTTAATTGTTTGTAGATCTTTGAATATGTTAGCTTTTTATAAAAAAAAAAATTCCTATAAATTTTAAATTTCTTATTTTATAAATTATTAACTATAATATTACTAATTTTCCTCCAAAATTAAATTTTAAAGGCGACGTAGATATTTTAGTAGCTACTTTTAAAATTACTTCTTTTTTTTTTAAATGAATAAATAAAGTATTGTAACTCCAATTATATATTTTTGTATACAAAATAGTAATTTGTAATTTTTATTAAAATTTGAAATATTCTCATAGTAAAAAACTATTAATTATATATCTATATTATAAATTTCCGAAATCCTCACTACATCATCATGTGGTCATGTCATAGCTACGTCATGTCATCGCTAAGTCATGTCATCGCTACGTATTTATTTTTATTTGTTGATTTTATACAAACAGATGATCCTACCAACAGTCTTAACTTATTTTTAAATCGATTATATTTTTTATTATTTTTCAAAGATTAGTAATATCTAAATTATCCATACTTTCAAGTTTTCGGGATAGTTGAGATATTGTTGAGAATTATGGTACATGTAGATTTGCCCATGAAGGAGAGTATTGTAAAGGTTTGATAAACTATTAAAATGTTAGCAGATATAGAGTTTGGATTAACTGACAGAATTTCAGTGTATAATTTTCTTTTACCTTTAATCGAAAAATACTCAGGATATAAGTTAAAATCAAAATTAAATATTTTCCTAACTATTTCTACAATTTCTATCTCAAACTGCCCATTTTTGTTTTGCTTTTCCTATATAAAATATCTGAATAAGATCTATATAAATTAGTATATTAATCATTTTATAACATGTTAATTAATAAACTTTTTAAGTAGCTAATGTTTAGTAAGCTTTATTAATTAACAATTATAAAAGTAGCGTCTCTACCTTTTCATAAAAATAACATAATTACCGATCGTTACTCAAAAAATATAGTGCGCTGTTTTTAATAGTTAAGAGCATTGTTCAATAAATAAAAACAATTGTATAGGAGAGACCAGGGCTAGGGTGCAAGGGGCTTGTAGGTTCAAAGGGTTTTATTTTAAAACAAGTAAAGATTAAAAATTGAAATTTAGTTCTAAAATAGAATTCTATAATATCCATAATTGGGGATGAAAATAATTTATAATATTTAGCTGTTTAAATTTTTATCCGTTATGACATGTTTTTGACATAAAAATTACAATATTTTCACTTAATATTATGTTGTATTAAAAAATTAAAAGTTTAAACATGACAAAATAAACATTATATGAAAGTTAAATATCTAAATTTCAGATTGATATATAATGTTTAAATATATGTTAAGATCAAATTAGTAATATTACCACCATTGAGGTTAGTAGAATCGTGGCTAGTCGGCACAATCAGTCAATTTTTATTATATTATTATGGTACATATATAAGCAAAATTCAAAATAGTAAAATTTTTACTAAAAAAAGATTATGAAGAAAGTATAAAACTGTATGAAAATGATATCTCATTATAAAAAATACTATTTATTACAGGTTAAAATATAATATTTTATAAATGTAATATATTAGATAATAATTATTATATAAATTTATTAATGTGATTGATTTTTCATAATACATTTCAATTTTAATATAATATCAAACCTAAATAAATATCTTGCAAACTAAAATCTTCATATTTATATTGATAATATATTATATATTGTCACAGAAAATATAATATTTTATAAATGTAATATATTAAATAATAATAATTTCTTTCTTTCTTTCTTTCTTTCTTTCTTTCTTTCTAAATTTATTAATGTGATTGATTTTACATAATACATGTAAATTTTAATATAATATCAGACCTAAATAAATATCTTGAAAACTAAAATCTTCATATACATATTGTGATAATATATTATAAATTGTCACAGATATATCACAGATATTATATATATTGCATATATAAATAGCCTAATTATAAGATCAATTATTATTTAAATTAATTATATCTAGCAAACAAATATAATATATATATATTTTAATTGACAATAATGATATTAATACATTTTATTAGATATGAACATTTTAGCATATAAATTTTAGCCTGATAATTGTGATAATAATATCAATATATTTAAAATGAATTATATCTAACAAACAAATATTTATATATATATATATCTATTTTGACAATATAATATGATTCAAATTAATTCATTTTATTGGATATGAACATTTTAATTATCAGATTATATTTAGCCTGATAATAAAATCAAATGATATTATATATTTAAATATAGAATTAGATAAATTTTGAGTAAATTTATTATTAAAAAAAATAAACGTCTTCGAGAGCTGGGTTTATAGTGTCTTAAAAATCTGCGCAAAGCCTGATATTCCCTACATCTTTGTTTACAGCGGGTATAGGACTCGCCCATCGCACATCATCTACAGGCTCAGTAATTTTTTCGTGTATCCATATATTCAGTTCTTCGCCCACAAGATCAATCTTTGAATACGGTATACGTCTTGGTGGTATTATTTTAGGTTGGGCGTCACATCTTAAATGTAATACATTTACTTTGTTAATTGATTCGCTAGTCAATTTGGATTCACAATTCACAATCTTTAATAATTTTATTGATTTCGTCTTCATAATTGGTGTCGACATTTCCTATGAATTTATTTAAAATATTTTTAAAGGCATTGATCCAGATTCTTCCTAATAACGCGTTCTTTCTCGACTCTACAACTACTGCTAGTAAATATTTAGTGATTCCTTTATAACTTACTTTAACTTGAATTGTCTCGATGATTTTAATCAAGTTTCCGTCTTAAGCTTTAAGCCGCAAACTGGATTTCTTCATTTCTCTTATACCAATTTTTTTAGCCATATTATGAGGTATGATGGTATACTTTGATCCAGTGTCAACCTGCATAGTTGTAGTAACATTATTTAATTTCAAAGTAGTCATAAAAGCACTGTAATCACCTTTGTCTGTATTTTCTGCCAGGTTGTTGACATTGAAATCATTCTCATTATTGTCTTTGGCAGTGCTAACTTTATTTTCCCCAACTTCTTCAATGTTCATATTACAATTATTTCTATCGTAGAAGTTTTGATTATCATACTGGATTTGTTTTCTTTGATTAAAATCCTTCCACCGATTATGATCGTCATATTCGATTTGTTTTCTTTGGTTATCATTATTATGCCACCTGTTGTTTCCTTCATAATTATTTGAATTGTTGTTATAAGATCGGTAATTATTATGATTTTGATCGTCATATTGAATCTGCCTCCTCTGATTATAATTAAACCAGGCGTTGTTCCTACCACAGTTGTTGTTATAAGATTTCTGTTGCTATTGTTATACCGATAATTGTAATTTTGATAGTTACTTTACTATCATTATACTGATTATTTCTATAGTTGTTATTATTATAATTTTTATTGTTTCTAACGTTACTAGAATTCCTATTCCTGTTGTCGTTAACATTAATAAAATTGTTATCACCATAATTTCTATTCCTACTGTCAAAATTTTGCCTCGAATAATAATTAAGGTATTATAGTTACTATTAATCTCATTCCTATTAGAAGTACTTTAGATATCTAAATTCTTATCATTATTACTATTATTGACATTATTTTTATTAAATTTTTATCACTACTAAAAACATAATTAACATTGTCACTCTCTGATTTAATGTTAATCTAATTTTCTTCCTATTTCAATCATTTCGTCTAATGTGTAATTAATATTTTTATTTAATTTATTTTTTATATTGTCATTTATACTAGATGTTCTCAATTTTTCTTTTATGCGATCATCATTAATAAAATTACATTGTCTATTTAATTTAGACAGTCTAGAAAAAAAACCAATCCAAAAAAGATTCATTAACACCTTGTGAAGCAAGGTTAAACTTCCCAGTCAATATCCAAACATCTTGACTGGGTAATAAAAATTTTAATTTTTCAATAATAATTTTATAATCTTTGATATCTTCCTTAGTACATAATGACTTAATTTTCACGTATAGGTCATCAGATAAATTGCTCATCAATGTTTCAATTTTTACTGAGTCGGATAAAATTGTTTGAGAGAAATAATTGTCAAGTCTCTCCAAATATATGTCCGTCAAGCATCCCTCCAATTTTGGGAACTTAACTTACCTGTTGGAGGATATGCTAATTTTAGCATCCATAATGCAGATTTTTATTTTAAAAACTTTATTTAAATTAGCATAGAGATATATATTGTCATTGTCATATTATTATGTAACTTTCTTTTTTATCCAAATTGCAAATTTTTATTTTATAACTTTATTTAAATTATTAGCTTAAAGATATATATTGTCGTTGTAAAGTCATATAAAAAATTTTTTTTTTTTACTTTGTGTGTATCCTTTATATCGAATAATTTTTATAATTTATTACATAATTCCAAAAAAACTTTTTATTTTTCATATTTAT